ATCAAACAAACTGATTAACTTCGAAATATGTTCATCAAAAAATTAATCAAAATTATTGTTTACTATTTTTAGATACTTAGATCAGATACTTGAGGATACTGTCAATTCCCGATTAATCGATGTGCTAATCGATTGTTTCTACCGTATGACTACCGTCCATCAACACATAAATTGTAACGTTTTTATTAATTTATTTAATTTTTATTGTGATAAACAACTCAACATCTATCGACATGGATATAGTTTTTTCTGCAGGTGGAATAACCGTGGATAGAAAAACATTAGAAACAGTGATGAAACCGGGAAACTGGTATTCAGATAACGTTGTCGACGCGTATATTCATCTTCTCCAAGAACATGTTCAGGGTAGAGAGTTCAAAATTATGGAACTTTGGTTTTATACAGTGTATAACGACAGAAGATCTTCTATCTATACTTTCAAATTTTTGATGGATTACAAAAATTGGTTATTCCCATGTATTTTCGATAGACATTTTGCTCTCATCCACATCAATACAGTTAATCTAACTGTATATTATTACGATTCTTATTTTGATAAAAATACGAAAGTGCTCGACAATTTTAAGGATATTTTAGCGAGAGACCATCCAGAGCTAAATTTCAAGTTTACAATTGTGAGCGGAATCCCGAAACAAAAAAACGGCGATGATTGTGGACCTTTTGTGTGTCATTATGCTGCCCTTTTGGTATTTCAAAAGAAGACAAAATTAGAAAAATTTCATATATTAAAACAGCAAGATTATACAGAGGTAAGTGCAATCTTAATATTAATGTTTAATAAATTAATTAATGTTTAATATTTTCCTTTGCAAAAGGACGCTGAATACATAAGAACAAGTCAGTGTGATGCGATAAGAAAGGGCGCGATAGAAGCGCACGACATATTTACAAAGTTTGACTTTAGCAAGGCAACAGAACAAGTGTGAGTTGTTTTTCACAACTGTCTCTTCAACAATCAATTGTATTTTAATAAGGTTTTTAATAATGAAAATTTTGCATTTTTTCAATTACATTTAGCAAACGACCATTCGTCATTCCTAGAAAAAAAGACACCGAACTTGATGGACCAACTGACCAGGGGAAAAGCGAAGAGGCGGTTGCTCAAAGTCCAATAAAAAACACTAAACAAAATCTTGAAGTGTAAGTTGTTTTTCTACAATCGTGTATTTTATTAATGTTTGAAAATTTTCCATTCTTTTAATTTCTAGAAAAAAAGACACCAAGCCTGCTAAACCAACTGACCAGGAAAAAGGTGAAGAAGCGGTTGCTCAAAGTGCCGAGGCTAAATCGGAGGAAACAAACGAAATATCCGAAATAAGATACAAGTACCCATATTGTCCGTACTCAGTTTCTGAAAAAAATAGACGCGCGCTATATCCACACATGAATCCACGAAAATTACATGGCAAAATACTACCGCCAAACTGTGTAGTTAGAAGACAATTTGAACCAAAAGGAAAATATGAATGGATGAAGGCAAGAAAAGAAATGATCAAAATAATTGTAAAAAAAATAAACAATAATACTTAATTAAATGAACTCATAGAAAAAAATATTTGTGTTAATCATTAAGCATAACGACGTTTCACCAAACCCCGGCCAGAATTATGGAGACGGTAAGAGTGTGGTAACTCAACCGTAAATAGTTTCAGAGTGAAAGTATAGATGGCGTTTCTTTTAGAGAACAACTTCTGACTTGCTTCTTCTGATAATAGCTAAAATAGATTTAATACAATAACTATAAATTCAAATAAGATTTAATTTGTGTATGATGGCTGACGTGATGATAAATGAATTACCTGATGAATATTTAGCACTCATATTCGCTTTTCTAAACATTGATGATCTCTGGATTATTTTGAATGGTAAGTTTCGAAATGTTCTCTTTACTTACTCACTATTCGCTAATTGTTGCATCTGTTTTACAGTTTGTATGCGATGGGAATATTTGATATTCAACCACAGAGGATTATGCAACAATCTTTTCGTTTTGCAAAAATAACCGAATCTTCTGTTGCTGCCAACAGTAGTTAAAAATGATATCCCGGGTTTCATCTGTCGGCATTTCCAAAGAATCGTGGATCACCCATGTTGGTTACATTTTCCTCTGGATTTCCTTTTAAAAATTCTTGATATGGATCTTTTGGTTTATGAGGAAAATCAAGTGTTGACGGCTATTACGAGATGGATCAGTTTCGATGATACCAGGAGAGTGCATCTTGACCAACTGTCACAAAAAGTCAGGTGGCTTTATCTGCACAGAGAGAGAGACAACGCTCAAAATCTACAACGAATCGATAGTTTGCCAAATACTAATGCAATAGACAGAACGAAACAACTACACCACATGGTATTTCTAGAGTCTGATGGCAAGCTAATTATCAAGGTGTTTGACCAACACTTTACAAAAATCATCGAAAAATTGATGACACAGGACTATTCCATTAAGTTCAACCTTCTATGTTCAGAAGACTTCACGGATATTTGGCTTGATGGCAAAGGCTTAATCCGCATTAATTGGCTTTCTGATAAATACCATATTTTGACGCAAATTTCCAAATTTTTGTGTAAAATTAACAAGGTTTTCAACTACACGAGTAAAGAGTAAGGTTTAGTTCTCAATTTGTTGATTTGTTAACATTTTCTTGATACATTATTTTTTGATTTTTCTCTTTGCAGAACAATAAATGGAGAGTAGTTTGGTTTGGTCGTGAAAAATCCGGGTTCACAGCTAATTGGAAAAACGTTGCTCGATGCACAGGATAGATATATTGTTCTTGAAGGATGCAATTCGTATATCAACGTGTCTACCAATTTAAAAAAGCTTGAGACAATAAATCTAAGAGAGAATCAAAACAAAAAGTTTGCTACAAAAAATCTGACGACTAATTGAGTTTGTCACTTTTGTCAAAGTTCAAAGTTTGCTACGGCAAAAAGTTAAAAGTTTAGATATTCGTGCTACTATCAATAATCTACCTTCTTTTTACGGTGTTTCTCTTACTCCTTCCGAGTTAAAATATGTGCACAACTTCTGTAAAAATTTCAAAGATTCACCTTTAGAAGTGAAGTTCTACGACATCACATTGAGGAAATATTCTAAAACATCGGTTGAAATCACCAAAAACGATAAAAAAGTTATAAAGCAATTGTCATTTTGGGACAAAATTACTCCATATATTCCGGTTGCATTATTCTTGGTTACTAATGAAATACCTGTTGATCAATTTATTGATCTCTACATACTTGCCTTCTTCATGACTAAAGAACAGATGCTGAAGAAACAATGGACAGCAGCCCAATGTGTTTATATTGATCCTGATCGCTCAATTGTGTATCTTCTGGGACTTGCGAAACGTGAAGAATTCAACAATCGACAAATTGATGTTGAATCTCTAAATAAATTTGTCGAATCGAATCAAGAAGTATTCGAATCTCTAGTTAACCTTATGTATAAATAAGGAGCTCTCCATTCATCATTCATCATTCAAACAGTGAACATGGACATCATCTGTGCATATTTCGATGCGCAAGGTTATTTATCTGCAATACGGCTGAAATTTCTCAACGGTGAGTGTATTTGTATCCAGCAAGCCTTTCCTTAACTAACCTTTTCTTTTCCATTTTTAGCCGTTGTGCCCCTCTCTCTATTTTAATTAGAAACTTCGAACAATATTTCGGGGAAAACCCTCCTGCTCATATAGCGAGAGCCATCGCTAGTATTAAAGGAATGGGGGGTGCTCATACAGCAACAAAGATGAAACTGGCATTAACAAAAGAAAAAAAAGGTATTTAAAACAACAAAATAAAATGTTGTTCGACCAAGCTGTTGCTGCCAAAAGCGAGGTTTGCAACCTCAAGGCAGAGGTAGTCGAAATTTCGCTAAACTATTCCGAGCTGACAGGTGAAGCTGAAAGTCTGATTTCAGATGTGGAGGAATTGTTGGAGATGGTTCGCCAACAAGAGGACCGAATTTCTCAGAAGAACGAGATCATTGAATCAGCCTAGAACACCATAGTTGATCAGCAACATTATATACAGTATATTAATGCAGAGCTCAATAAGGCCGTTGGAATTCCGCGGCAGGAATTCCCGGCCTCATCGAGATCACTGTAATCATGTATTTGATTGTAATTAATCATTCATTTCATTTTAAATAAATTTCATTTCCTTTGTTATATTTGTTTCATTTTGTTCAGGAAAAACCGCGCAGTTCTTTGTTTTCCTGTCCCAATAATCGCAAAACTAACCCTGTCCCAGAAATTCAATAACCTATCTTGTCCCAGTAATCACTTAAGTGCTCCTGTCCCAGAAATCGCATTTGTCCCAGAACTTACATTTCCCTACTACTAACCTTATTTCGCATTATTTCGATCTGATTTATTCAGCACAGAAAATATCATTTTTGAAATCAAATCTAATCTTCAAGTGCATGAATTTTGCTCGTAAGGTCTCATTGACGTCAAATCAAATGCAAAAGATCTCATCTTCAGATATCACTTACTTTAAATGAGTCATTTGGCTCTAATTCAGGTGAATCAAAAACTTTTCTGGCAAAATTTGAAAATTATGCCCGAACTGGATACAATAGAATATTCTGACTAACCGGACTCGTGAAATATCAAATCAAATTACAATACCACTTAGCATTTATGTTTTATTTGGCTAGGATTGTTACCGCAAAAATACGCAATTGAAGAGAAAGCTTGTTTTGTGAATAAAGGGTGTCAAAATAAAATGGGTTGAAGACTGAAACCAGAATAAATGTGTCAAGATGAAAATAGATAGGACTATTTGTAATAGATGTATGTTATTGATTTGTGGCTGTTGGAGGTATTGGGAGGGTTTTGGACCCACATTGGTTTAAAGTTAGATTTATCTGTGAAACAATCAGACCGACTTTATACGGAAAAAATACGTACAGCTTCCACACTCACGATTTATGCGATTATTTATGCTATTTATTGAACCAAATTATGTATTACTATTATTCAAACCGTTCTAAACATGAAATCTTTAATATTTCTAGTTCTCTCATTAAGCCTTGCTTATGGAGGAAGAGTATTTACTCAAGCTGATGTTCATCCATTGTCTGATGAGATGATTGATCGAATCAACTCTATTGGAACAACTTGGAAGGTAATATTTTTGTCAAATAATTTAGCAGGTCACAACTTTTATCCGTTTTGATTTTCTTTTAGGCTGGACGTAACTTTGATGGATCTTCATTGCCATATGTTAAGAGACTTTTAGGAGCTAAAAGAGGTTCATCCAAAAAGCTGAGACAAGTTCATCACGAAATCAATGAAGAGTTACCAGAAAGTTTTGATGCTCGTGAAGCTTGGCCCAACTGTACACAAATCAGAACAATAAGAGATCAAGGAAACTGTGGAAGCAGTTGGGCTTTTAGTCCAGTTGAAGTTATGTCTGATCGTATTTGTATCGCCTCTCATGGTGCACTTCAAGTATCGTTATCAGCACAAGAAATTGTTGCTTGTTCTAATCTCGGTGGCTGTGATGGAGGATTACAAGTATTCGTCTATGACTATTATTCAAGTGAAGGTATTGTTACTGGTGGCTCATATCGTGGTGATGGTTGTATGCCTTACGATTTCGAACCTTGTATGCATGGTGGTGAAGGACCCATTCCGACTTGTCCTGAAACTCCTATACCAACGCCATCATGTTCAAAGAAATGTGTTGCCGGTTATGATAAAACATTTGAAGAGGACAAACACTATGGACTGGTTTCTCATGTTCTTTCATCCGATCCAAAGCAAATGATGAAGGAAATCATGACAAATGGTCCGATTTCTAGTGGTATCACTGTGTATGCTGATTTCCTTAGCTACTAGGTCAGACGATCGCTCGCCAAAATCGGAGCGTTAGTTATACATTGCCCTATTGTACTATTGTATTGAGAAGTGATAGATTGTGATTGTAAATTGATATACATGTAGTTTATGAATGAATAAGAAATTCAATTTGTAATGGCTGCATGTGCATAAACACCCGATTTGAGATCTTCGAATGAATAAGCAGAATTTACGTTTGATCTGAAAGCTTTGCAAATTTCGATTTTTTTCACTCTTTTCTATTTCTCTCCCAAATCTACCAATAATTACTCTGACTGATATGCAACACTTTATAAAGTTATAGCTTCACAACATCAACTAATTACAATTTTGATCTAATGTGTCACTCCATGGCGAAAAATGTCAAACCCATATGTCTACCTTTTTCGCATTTTCGTCGTATGCTCATCATTATTGAGATAGTTATACTTTTTGTGTGTCTTGCTGACCTGTGTGGCTTATAATAGACTGACTCTCTTAACAGAATCCTTTCATATGCTATATAGCTTTTGCAAGTTTCAAGTCCTATTGCATAAATATTCAGTGATATAATAATGAATCTGTTGCGTAGTGATCAAAATGATGCAAAAATTTTGAAATGCCTTTCAAAAGTGATCTAAAGGTCAAAGGTCGAATTTCCGAAAAATGACCTCGGATGACCTCCAAAAGTTGATCAGTTAATCTTTCTCTCATATAGATGTCTGGTGGTCAATAGCAGTTCGACAGATGTTTTCGCTCATTAGTTATGCGACCAACAAGAAATTTAAAAAGTGGTTTTTCAAAATGGGACCTGAGTTAAAAATCTTCACTTCGTTTCACTACGCTCCGATAATAAGTCAGGTTAGTTTTGCCATACACTTTTTCGTAGTTTTGTGGAAACTCATATTTCTACTATTTATTAGTTTTTTATGTTTGATCTACTAACAAGATTAATTTTTGCTTTCACCTGATACATTGACTAGTTTTCCACTCAAAATCCATTACTCATCTTCCCGATTGAATTAAACTTGCTTGCATTTCTTTTAGGAGTTTATCAAAAGACTACAAACCATTCGCTTGGTGCTCAATTTGTCAGGATAATTGGCTGGGGAACTGAGAATGGCGTTGATTACTGGTTAGTTGCAAACTCTTGGAACGAATATTGGGGCGATAAAGGTGAGTTTATACATCATTTACGGCAATAACATTTATTTATAAAAAATATATTTTTTCACAGGTTTTTTTAAGATCAGACGAGGAAATGATGAATGTCACATTGAAGATGATATCGTTGCTGGATTACCGAAACTTTAAGCAGTGTTAATCCCTATCGCTAAATTGCCTGGAAGTTTATTGCACTCTATCCGATTTGTACAAGTTACAAGTTACAGTTGCTATTTGATTAAGAAATTGTGATTTGTGATTTCATTAAAGATACCATATAACAGCTCGAAAGCTGGCCATAATAATATTATATAATAAAAAATGTCTGATGATCTAAAATCCGTATTTGATTAACTCGTCACAATTTTTCCCAATATTTGTGACAACAAAAAAAATATATTTTCCTTTTGGAGAAAAGCATATTGAAATTGTACGATATCAGAAACAAACCAAGTTTTCTGGATATCGATTAAGCATTCGTTATAGCATTGAAATTATGTTGTCAGATTTGATACTTGATTTAAAGGCAATAAACGATTATTCAAACACGAAATTTGTGTCTAAAAAGCTTGTGAATGTAAACATAATATTAGAGAATCTGACCTGATTCCTGTAATAGCGAATATCCTTTTAACACATCATAATTGAATGGATTTAACAACTTTTTACAATGGTTTCAAGAAAGCTGAATAAATTCATGGGTATAAAAGAAATCGATTCTTTAAACGCAAATTACTTGTTTCTTTAATCTTTATTAGTCAATTTATTTAATTTCAAGTTTTCCACTATTCATTTTGTTTATAAAATGTATTCTCCTTTATTTTCAGCGATTCTTCTTGTGTTCATCGTGATCTATTTAGGCATTAATTACATTGAAGCTGAAGAGTTATATAGCCATGTGGTTCTTGGAGTAAGCGTCTGATCATCTGTGTTGTTTGACACCGTAACGCTTGGAAATATTTGTCCAGAGTTTTTTGAAACAAAACGGCATCTAGTCAGTCAATGGAATGCAATTTGAATCATCAATGTATGAGACCACGTCTGTTGCACAACCAACTATTAGGACTAATGTCCAAACAAAAGCCCAGCATTCAAAAGAAAAGTAAGTTCTGACCACAAACAGCGTAAAAGACAAAAATATGTTATTATTCTGCAAAATGTAATAAAATATTGATTACTTTTAAAAACATCTTTTAAAATTGCAACTACAGAGATATGATTGTAAGAGATATCTTGAGTTAAATAAATGTCTGTTTTTTATACTTACGTTCAGCCTCGTCCATTAAGCTGGTTCTTCATTTCTCGATGAAATGATACATTTCTGGTTAGTTAATGTTCTTCGGATGTAACGAGGAAGTTTGTAGCTCTTAATTAGTAAATTCACTAATTTACATCTCTTTCAGGCTAATGAGCTTAATGCATAACATATTAGCACTCCATTGGTTGATTGGATTCCGTGTTGTTTCAAAAACTGCGGACAAATTTGTCCAAGTGTAAAATCACTCACCACTGACTGATCAGAAAATAAACTTTTTCCTTTGCATGACTGTAAAACTTTTTGTTCATCGTTAATACCTGAAGAGATCACGATGAACACAAGGAGAATCACTGTAAATAAAAGAAGATGCATTTTGTAAACTTATAATGATAGTGGAAAACTTAAATTGAATCCAACTTAAAATTAAATTGACTAATGAAGAAGAAAGAAGCAAGTAAATTGCAGTTACAGAATTGATTCTTTTTATACACACATGAATTTATTCAGTCAAAATGTAATCATTCAGAAAACATTGTGTTGACATAAAAAGTGGTTAAATTAATTCGATGTAATTTAAAATTAGTTAAACTATCAACATCCACGCGGCAATTTATTTATTTATTTAACTAGTAATACATTTATTTACTTAATAATTTACTGGTGCGTGCACTATTAGGACCTATTTTAGGTCTAATCCAATGCATGCAACAACTAAACCTTGACTTAATGCTCTTAATTTACGAGTTTATTATTGTTTTTTCCGAGATCTTTCGGGTTCTCATGCTAATCGAGTGATCGTCTGATCTGATAGTATAAAGGTTTGGTCAGCTTTTAGGCTTCATTTGTTTTATTAATAATAAATTAATTATGCAACGTACAGAATCTTGTATAATATTACCATAAGTGAGACTAAAAATCATAGACTGATAAATTATATTTAAAATCCAATAGAAGATCGAACATTATGCTAATAACGACTTGACAAATTAATTATAGTACAAGTTTCATTCAAACTTCTCTGAGTTCGGGTAATCCAGCAACGACATCTTCTTCAATACCGCATTCATCATTTCCTCGCCTGATTTTAAAGTAACCTGTAAATACATAGATTTTTATTAAATAAATAATATCAACGTAAATGATGTATAAACTCACCTTCATCACCAAAATATTCGTTCCAAGAGTTTGCAACTAACCAGTAATCAACACCATTCTCAGTTCCCCAACCAATCATCTTGACTGCATGACCACCAAGCACATCGTCAGTAGTCTTTTGATAAACTCCTGGGCAATGATGAATACATTAGTGTTTTAGTCAAGTGAGCAAATACATTTTGAAACAAAAATTAGAAAAAATTGTATTGAGCGTAAATTATGCATTCGCTTCTGCACAAAACTACAAAAAGCAACCTCTGTGAATCAAACATACATGTATTGCGAACTAATAAATGGTGGAAATATGAAACTCGTGTTCGTACAAATGTGCAACAAAAAAGTGTATTTCAAAACTAACCTGACTTATAACTAGGGAAATCAGCATAGACAATGAAATCTACAGTAACTGGACCATTTGTCATAATTTCCTTCATGATTTGCTTTGGATCGGATGAAATGGTATAAGGTTCCTGGCCATAATGTTTATCCTCTGCAAATGTTTTCTTATAACCAGCAGCACATTTCCTTGAGCATGGAGGTGTTGGTTTATAAGTTTCAGGACAAGTTGGGATAGGCCCTTTAATGTGATGCATACAAGGCTCGAAAACGTAAGGCATACAACCATCACCATGATAAAGGCCACCAGTAACAAGACCTTCATTTTGATAATATTCATAGGCAGATTCTGGGTTGCCTCCGCCGCAGCCACCGAGATCAGCACAAGCAACCATTTCTTGTGCTGATAATGATACTTGGAGTGCACCATGAGAGGCGATACAAATACGATCAGACATAGCTTCGACTGAACTAAAAGCCCAACAACTTCCACAGTTTCCTTGATCTCTTATTGTTCTGATTTGTGTACAGTTGGGCCAAGCTTCACGAGCATCAAAACTTTCTGGTAACTCTTCATTGATTTCGTGATGAACTTGTCTCAGCTTTTTGGATGAACCTCTTTTAGCTCCTAAAAGTCTCTTAACATATGGTAATGAAGATTTATCAAAGTTACGTCCAGCCTAAAAGAAAATCAAAAAAGGATGAAATTTTTCTCAAATTATTCGACAAAACATTACCTTCCAAGTTGTTCCAATAGAGTTGATTCGATCAATCATCTCATCAGACAATGGATGAACATTTCTTTGAGTAAATAATCTTGCTCCATAAGCAAGGCTTACTGAGAGAACTAGAAATATGAAAGATTTCATTGTTAGAATAGTAATACATAATCTTCGAAGAAGTTATTCCAATAAATAGCATAAAGTAATCGCATGTTATAATTGTGGGAGTTACACTTACCTTATTTCGCATTATTTCTGATTGTTTCAGCACAGAAAATATCATTTTTTAAATCAAATCTAATCTTCAAGTGCATGAATTTTGCGCTTAAGGTCTCATTGACGTCAAATCACATGTAAAAGATACACCAAAGTCTCATCTACAGATATCACTTACTTTGAATGTGTCAGCATTTTTACCCCTCTTTCAAGTTATTTTCAACCTTTTCTGAAAAAAGTTGGCAACTTATTCCCTGGCCGGATACAATAACATATTCCGGCTAACTAGACTCGTGAAATATTATAATATCAAATGAAATTATAACTGAATGAGTTGCGCTTACCATTTTGTTTTAATTAAATATTTGCCTTAAAATACACACAACTCGCCATTCAAGAGAGTAAATCTTTTTCTTTGTGAATATAAAAGCACATAATTTATTTCCATCAGAATACACATAAAAATAGTCTAAATCCAGTCTACATGTATTTTGGTTAGATACGACACCGGGTCATTTTGAGACTATTCAGTTTTAGACAATTTCCAGATAAACTATTAATAGATTAAGAGAATAGCAGGCAAAATCTTTCGAGTCATTTGGTCAATGATTATAACTGTGGGAGTTGCACTTATCTTATTATATTAATATTATCTTATTTTAATAATATCATTTGGCTTAAATTTTGTTTTCGAGAAGTTGTGTTACTTTGTTCCTTGTTGATAAAAACTTTCCAATATTTTTATCTTCAACTTGCATGAATTACATGCAACAGGTAACCGTATGAGTTACTGTAAGAGTTAGAAAACTGTCAGCTCATTTTCCGTCAGTGAAAGTTGGTACACCTCAACGATGGACCACTTCTTTCAATTTATGGACAGTTCTCTTGATTCCGCTCATTGGCCTTAAAACTTGAACATCGATATCTCGAGAATGGCAACACTTACAATCAAAATTTTTCTTTCCTCAATTATTAGACGATTCATACAAGTAGGTGTTGTAGCATTGTACTTATGTTGTCATATTTGGCACTTATTTATTGCATTAAGCTGCATCATAACGTCAAGATGAAAATAGATAGGACTATTTAGAGATGTATGTTATAGATTGGTGGATTGTAGGGGAGATTGTGCCGTTTTTGGCTAAAGAATCGTAGATTTGGTTTAAAAGTGACATTTATTTGGGGTGAAACAAGAAAATCAAAATAAGATAAGACATGTAAATCAAACACTTAAAATTAATGCTATTTATTGGAACAAATTAATCGAAAATTATGTTTTGCTATCATTTAAGTCATTCTTACCATGAAATCTTTAATATTTCTAGTTCTCTCATTAAGCCTTGCTTATGGAGCAAGAGTATTTAATCAACGAAATGTTCATCCATTGTCTGATGTGATGATCGATCGAATCAACTCTATTGGAACAACTTGGATGGTAATGTTTTGTCGAATAATTTATCAGGTTTAAAAGAGTGAAATTTTATCATTTTTTTTATTTTTTCAGGCTGGACGTAACTTTGATCAAGCTTCATTACCATATGTTAAAAGGCTTTTGGGATAATTGGAATGGGAACTGAGAATGGCGTTGATTACTGGTTAGTTGCAAACTCCTGGAACGAATATTGGGGCGATAAAGGTGAGTTTATACATTTTCACAGGTTTCTTTAAGATCAGATGAGGAAATGATGAATGTTACATTGAAAGTGATATTATTGCTGAATTGCCGAGACTTTAAGAAGAGTTTATTCTTATCGCGCAATTGACTGAAAGCTTGCACTCTATCCGATTCGTAGAAGTTACAATAAAGTTTTTAATAGCATTTTATCTTCCATTGGACTATCATATAATTGTCTTCGATTTAAACTATAAAACATGAAAAACCTTTTCATTTTATAAAATTTTTAATAAGCAAATTTTGAAATGAACTTTTGGACCAAACTTTTGAAATGCGTCTATTACTATTCTCTTTTCGTTAAAAATAGTCTAAACAGGCATCATTCATCTGCTCTTGTTATCCCCACGGCCAATCCATCTTATTTTTCTACATTCACTGAATTGATTCCATGGACTAAACCAGAAGTAGTTCACCGAAGGTGAAAGTGTGTTGGAGACCCGCAATAATGAGCAGATAATGTTGAGGGTCAATCACTTTAATAAAATCTAACTGCTAATCTGTTTGGTCCGGTTCGATCAAATTGTAGCACCAAAAAGACCCTCAACGTGCAATTTTACAGAATGAAGATAAACACAATCGGATTCAGGGTTCAACTTTTTGTTTGTTAGATACGACACCGGGTCATTTTGAGATTATTTAGTTTCAGACAATTTTCAGATAAACTATTGATAGGTTAAGAGAATAGCAGGCAGAATCTTTCGAGTCATTTGGTCAATGATTATAACTGTGGGAGTTACACTTATCTTATTAGTTTTTGCTTAGTTTTGATTGTTTTCCGAGAAGTTATGTTACAATGTTTATTATTCATAAAAATTTTCCAATATATTTTTATCTCCAACTTGCATGGCCTACATGCAATAGCAAAGATAAAATAATCTACTTTTATTTTGTTACTTTACCTCGGTAATAAAAAATTGGCATTAAGTCATTGTGATTATCACAATTAGTTGTCAATCAATAAAATAAAAAGGAGTAAATATTTAAATACAAAGATTATGAACTTCGAGGAAAGAGTTGGGACTTTGCAGGTGTTTATTAATACATAAAAGCATGAAAGCACCACAGATTTGCTAAAAAAGCAACAAATTATTAGTCTATTATCATATAATAAATAAACCAGAATTTACCAGTTTCTCTAATGTTATGCATCACAGTGTATTTATATTAGGGCTGTTAAAGAGGTCGGAGTTTAAACTTTGGTAAACTTTTGGATAGTTTTTTGATCAGATTTTTTATCGAAATCCTTTTTCTGGTGTAACTTTTGTTATTAATAATATACCAGAAAAAGCACTTGTTTTGTTGAATAAAATTTTTTTCCTGTGCAACAGATCTCTTCATTTTCGGTTTTAGTGAGAGTTAGAAAATTGTCAGCTCATTTTTCGTCGTGAAAGTTGTAGGAATTCCTCAACGATCGACTGCTTCTTTCAATTTATGGACAGTTCTCTTGATTTCGCTCATTGGCCTTAAAACTTGAACATCGATATCTCGAGAATGGCAACACTTACAACGAAATTCTCTCTTTCATCAAGATTCTATCATGAGCTATGTTATTATTCGACCATCTAATATATTGAAATATTAGATTCAAGATCAAACAGTTAGATGTTAAAGGATTGTAATACTTATGTTGCCAGATTTGATACTTGATTTAAAGGCAATAAACGATTATTCAAACACGAAATTTGTGTCTAAAAAGCTTGTGAATGTAAACATAATATTAGAGAATCTGACCTGATTCCTGTAATAGCGAATATCCTTTTAACACACCATAATTGAATGGATTTAACAACTTTTTACAATGCTTTCAAGAAAGCTCAATAAATTCATGGCTATAAAAGAAATTCTTTAAACGCAAATTACTTGTTTCTTTCTTCTTTATTAGTCAATTTATTTAATTTCAAGTTTTCCACTATCATTATCAGTTTATAAAATGAATTTTCCTTCATTTTCAGTAGTTCTTCTTGTTTTCATCATGATTTCTTCATGCATTAATTACATTAACGACGAACAGAGAGTTATACAGGCATGAAGTTCTTGGAGCAAGTGTATGTATTGATCATCTGTGGTGAGTAATGTTACTCTGGACAAATTGTCCAGAGCTATTGTCCAGTCTAGTTTAATGGAATGCAATCGGAATCATCAATGTCCCCCGTCTGGTGCACAATCTTCATTAACCTTCTGTAATTAATGTCCAAACAAAAGCCCTGCATCAACCGTTAGTAAGCTCTGACCACAAACAGCTTAACATCGAGATGTTATTACTCTGCAATAAAAACAAATAAAATCTTGATAACTTATGCAATTATTTTAAATAAAATGCAATAAAATTAAAACTATGAGATATGAAATATCTCGAGTAAAAATGAATGTCCACTTTTAGACTTACATTTACCCTCGTCAATTAAGCTGGTTCTTCATTTTTCGATGAGATGATACGTTTCGGGTTAGTTGGTGTTCTTCGGATGCAACGAATTTTTGTAGCTTTTAATTAGTAAACAGTAATTCACTAATTTACATCTCTTTCATTGCATTACACTTCTCAGCCTTTTGCATGCTGGATAGCACTCCATTGACTGACTGGATTCCGTGTTGTTTCAAGAACTATGGACAAATTTGTCCAAGTGTAACATCACTTCCCACTGACTGATCAGAACATACACTCGTTCAAAGTACTGCATGACTGTATAACTCTTTGTTCATCGTTAATACCTGAAGATATCATGATGAACACAAGAAGAATCACTGAAAATGAAGGAAAATGCGTTTTATAAATTAATAATGAAAGTGGGAAACTTAAATTGAGTCTAATTAAAAGTTAAATTGACTGATGAAGAAGAAAGAAACAAGTAAGTTGCAGTTACAGAATTGATACCTTTTATATACACATAATGAAATCCAATGCTGTGTCGAAAAATCACGATCGTAGGTGATTTCATTCTCGAAATATCGAGGCTCAAAGTTTTTAGGTTCATGGCCGAAATCAAGCGATCAATCGATAAACTGAAAAAAGTATTCAATCTGTGAAGTGTAAAAACAATTTTTATGGACAAATATCAAGTTTAAGTTGTCTAACTCTTATGGTCACAGAGGACTGTCGATTTAACAAAAAATCGAAATGATCTGTTTTAAAGAAAGATAAATTTTTATTTAATGTAATGAGATACATTTTCTGATTTGCCATCAAAAGTTACATCAAAGAAATGAGCTCTAAACAAAAATTTGCTTCCATAGTTGTACAAAAGGCGATCAAAGTTTCAACTTCGAACTCGATTTTCTCGAAAACTATTGATAAGAGAGATTTCTTGATAGCACAAACGGACTCAGTTTTTATGTGGCTACAAACCAACAGAGTTTGAATTTGAAAGAAATTCATTTGCACTCGTTTTTGCCCATGAGAAAAGAGATTCTTGGTAACAAAGCACAGAAAATGCAGTTTTACGCCTTTTTAGCATCTATTCACATTGAAATCAATATTAAGTTGTAATACGTTCACGTATTTGAGATAAAATGGCGTGAATTTACAGCCCCGAATGTCTAAAGTCGTTTGTTTTGAGACACACTTCAACTTTGGGCTGATTTGTCTCAAGAAAGTGACCAAAAATGTGAAATTTCATTAGTCTAATCCTCGAATCCTTAATCAGGAAAACACTAAATGCCAAATGAATAGCATTATATCCATTTATACGCAAAGGCAAAACAGCATAGCAATATTACTCTCAATCATGCAATTCCCAAAGACAGCCATGGCAAAAAGGAAATACCCAATCTTGTTCGCACAGAATTCCTGAAAATGGTTTTTTTGAATGCAAAGGAAGCTTTTCTAATGAGTTTGCTATGCTTGAATCGATTATTGAGGTAATCCATACTCTAAACCCTTGAATTTTGCGAGGCCATTGAATTTGACAGATCTGATAGCGATCTGAATAAGTCCGTGTTGAGCATGAAAACATGTTAACTCATTACAAGGCTCAGATTTAAAGCCCTGAATTGCATGCAATAACAAAGATCAAATAATCTACTTTTATTTTGTTACTTCACTTCAGCTTCATGAAACATTGGCGTTAAATCATCGAGACTGCCACAATTAGTTGTCAATCGCTTCAATGCAAAGGAGTAAGAAAATGAGTTGAATATGTAACCATATTATTTAACTTTAAGACTAATATTTAGGAGATCATGTTAATCAAAAATATAAATTTGTTAATTTCTTTAAGTCAGATCACAACGCGTGAAGATAAAAATATAATAGAAAGGACTATTTTAAAGATGTATCTAATAGATTTGTGGATTGTAGGTGGAATTGTGGGGATTTTGGACACAGAATTGTATTAATAGATTTTTATTTTAGATATTTATCTGTGGTGAAACGATCAAATCAAAATAATGCGGAATAAGATACGTGTAGTGTAACTCCCACACTTTCGATTTATGCGATAACTTTTTGCTATTTATTGAGATTCATCAAAAATCATTTATTACTATCGTTCAAACCATTCTTACCATGAAATCTTTAATATTTCTAGTTCTCTCAGTAAGCCTTGCTTATGGAGCAAGAGTATTCACTCAACGAAATGTTCATCCATTATCTGATGAGATGATTGATCGAATCAACTCTATTGGAACAACTTGGAAGGTAATATTTTTGTCCAGTAATTTATCAGGTCACAAAGAGTGAAATTTCATCCTTTTTTGATTTTCTTTCAGGCTGGACGTAACTTTGATGAAGCTTCATTACCATATGTTAAAAGGCTTTTGGGATTTAAAGGAAGTTCACTAAGAAAGCTGCAACAAGTTCATCACGAAATCAATGAAGAGTTGCCTGAAAGTTTTGATGCTCGTGAAGCTTGGTCCAACTGTACCCAAATCAGAACAATCAGAGACCAAGGAAACTGTGGAGGTTGTTGGGCTTTTAGCACAGTCGAAACTATGTCTGACCGTATTTGTATCGCCTCTCATGGTGAACTTCAAGTATCATTATCAACACAAGAAATGGTGACTTGTGGTGAACCTGGAGGTTGTGAAGGTGGATACCTAGAAACTTCCTACGATTATTATCAGACTGATGGTATCGTTACTGGTGGCCTCTATCATGAAGGTGGCTGTTTGCCTTACACTTTACCACCTTGTAACCATTCAGTTAACGAAGTTTTGCCAATTTGTCCAAAAACTTATTTACCAGCACCTCCATGCTCAAGGAAATGTGTTGCAGGTTATGAGAAGACATTTGCCGAGGATAAACATTATGGACAGGCACCTTATACCATTTCATCCGATCCAAAGCAAATCATGAAGGAAATCATGACAAATGGTCCAGTTACTACTGGTTTTACTGTGTATGCTGATTTCCCTAGTTATAAGTCAGGTTAGTTTTGAAATACACTTTTTGTTGCACTTTTGTGTGCATTCGAGTTTCAAATTTTATCATTTCATTAGTTTGTTGAATTTTTGTTTAAAAAAGATTACTTTTCGGGTTTCATCTGGTGAATCAACTAGCTTTTTGCGCCAAAATGCATCTATTAACATATTATACTTTCTCATACTTCTATCATCTAGGAGTTTATCAAAAGACTACTGACGATGTGCTTGGTGGTCATGCAGTTAAGATAATTGGCTGGGGAACTGAGAATGGTGTTGATTACTGGTTAGTTGCAAACTCCTGGAACGAATATTGGGGCGATAAAGGTGAGTTTACACAGCATTTATGGTAATAACATTTATTTAATAAAATGTATATTTTTACAGGTTTCTTCAAGATCAGACGAGGAAATGATGAATGTGGATTCGAAGATAACGTGATTACTGGATTACCGAAACTTTCATAGTAAGAGATGAATCAACTCTTTATTTTTTGAAGCCTTCAGGTGATTAAAAAAACCGAAATTTTTAATTTTTATAATTTTATAAGTACTGATAAAAATGAGTATATTATGTCTTCAGAATGAAGAATCAGATTTGGACATTGTTATCTATTTAACTTGATAATTTTGAATAAAGATTGTTTCATTTTGACAAAAAGTCTAAAATTTCATCTTCTTTTATCGTTTCACTGTGTAACTTAAAAAGTAAAGCCGAATCTCTTATTGTAATGATGATTTCATGATTTGATGATGAAAGAAAGCAATTATTTTATTCAAATTCATGCACAAATCTTGATAAATTTTGTAATTCTTTACATGAAAAAAGTGATGAGAAAATATTTATTAGAAAATGTTTAGGCACGCAATTTAGAGTAGACTTCAATGGATGAGGTGAAATTAAAAATATCAAGGTTGGTGAATACTTTGTCTTTTGGTGTAGTGCAAAAATGATTGCAGCAAAGTGATTAGACGCAATCTTCAAGTCACTAGAAAAAATGAGATGAATTTTGAATAAAAACGTTGAATTATGTGAAGTTTCATCGTTCATGGACTATGTGGAGTTTGAAATTAAAAAGTCCAGCTAAGATCAAACTATTTATCACAGATAGTTTCGTCTATTTTTTCAGAAACAAAGACATTGACTTGATCACAATGGGTGATAATTTAGTTGCGATCATCATTCATTTCCTCTGGATCAAGTATCTTCTGTTCATCGTCCTAAAGATAAAAGAAAAATGAAAATATTAATTTAAATATCAGTCGGTAATTTAGTAATGTGATGAAGTACCTTTACAATTTGATAAAGATGACAAGTTAATATATTCAGACAGCCATTGATTCTGATTCTTCTTTTAGGAATGATCAGTTGAAGAGAGGCAATGAACAAGAATAAACCAGCTAAGCCAACACCTATTGCTAAAAACAATGTAGGCACCAGCGATAAAAGCGTGTTTATCAATATGAGTAATCCAACAAAATCAGAACTTAAAGAAAAGCTTATTTCCATCCAAAAAGCAGGGAAAACTATATTTGGCATTTTATGACTTCTTTTGAATGCCTGTGAGCGAGTTATTCCGATGTTTAATTGGAGGCGAATAGCGGCTGCTGCTGTGGACCCAGAAGTTGGTTCAATTTCAAACCAAGCTAAATGATCAGTTTCGTTTGGTGATAACCCGTTTACCTTAGTTAAATAATAAGGATCAGCTCCCAAGAAATGAGGTAAAGATAAGAATATTGGAAAGCCATAATTAGGTGTGGATGCATCAAAAACTCCAGAAGGCAAGGTTTCATTGGATCCGTCAAAAGAGTAGCTAGTTAGCAAACTATTGTAACACTTATTTGGAGGATAAATTGAAGGACTAGCAAAATTGTGATCTGCAAATAAGTATTTCCATGTTTCAAGTCTTTTAAAAAGAAAGTGACTCTTTTGATAGGTAAAAGAGAGAGTACGAGACAAGTCTGGAGTAAATAACTTGATGGTTTGAGTCGGGTTATTCCTCAATGAAGGAAACATTTCTCCCAGGGTACTATCATTAAACCGGTTGCAAGCTTCATTTTCACCCGGTTCATCAGCCCAGATACCAAGCTTATCCTGGCCATTAATACGAGTCAGTAGGTTAATCTTGTTGATATCATTAACTCCGGAATAAATTGTGTACAAATAATCACTAGTACCGTTTCTATGGTGAAAATAGGCAAATTTGCCATTATAGCCAGCTGTAGCTTTAGGCGCAACTATGGAGCCAAGTTCCATTAACATATCAGGATAACCAAGAAAAGTCAATTCTTTGATGCTTTTTTCGATAATGAAACCATGATCAACGGAAGCTAAAAATTCTTCAATCAATTTACGCATAGTAAATGATACTTTTTCAATCCAAGTTAAAGTTATCACTAGAGGAGCATTGATTGTATAGACAGTAACATTCTCATCCATAACAGAGGCTTCTCTATCAAAAATCCAGGTTCGATTCCGGTAAAAGCTTATAGTACCATTTGGGTTGATGATTGGAGTATTATGAGTTTTGAGACGATAAGTAAAAGGTCCAAGTTCAACTAGATTAGGTTTGGCACCATCATTTTCCACTTCAGATGGATTGGTAATGTTGTAAAAATAAAATTTATGAAACACAGGCAAAGGCATATCTTTCCAAAAGGTAAACAAAGCTGATCCATTGCTTAGCACGATTTTCTGAAACCAAAAATAGTAGAATCTGTCAACACCAGAGTTTCAAATTCACAGTAATATCTTACCTGATTAATAATCTTTCTGGTAATTGGTGGGAGAAGGAAAAATCCAGTGAAACCAATTGCACCAAAAATAATAGCAAACAAAGGAAGACCAGTAAGCTTGCCCATCACCAGAAAATAGAGGAGACAATATATTTAGAGAAAGATTTGTACCAATGACTCTGGTGTTTCTGATGATGGCGATGGTAATAGTTAATTATCTGACATCCGAAGTTTAGCACAATTCACAGGAAAATTGAAAAAAATTATTAGATTACATTTATGTCTCATGTTTGTTTACAAGAAACAAAATACGTTAGAAATGTAGATTTCACTTTCTCTTTCCATCTTTCTCGTCCATACATAAACACAATGTGATCATCTTCCTTGTTAGCTTTCTTGCCTTTTTCTGATTGAAGGATAAAGACTCTTTCAACAGTTCATATTTAAGCTTGCAAATGGTTTTTCTAAGTAAATTAAAAGATTTCAAGATTTTGATTAAGAAATACTAATAAAAAGGAGGGCTTTTTACGGAAATTGGGTTCAATTTAACACAAGATTGTTATAATATTAATTCATTTTACCTTGAATGTAAAGTTTCATTGATCATTAACATCTCTCAATGTTATTTGCATGATCATGTTACTTTGTTTTAAAGCAAACTCTGCAATAAAGTTTATAAGAAAACACATCCGAACAAAAAGTCATATCGACCTTCATTAACAAATGAGCCTTCAAATCAAGACCAAACCTAATGACCGTGGTTTTTAGCTAATCACAAACTCATCTAAGCTATAATTTTGTATCAACTACCCAATATTATAACTGATATTATATCTAACAAAATTTTACCATTTATCTTTATTTAAATGCCTATTATAAACATCTCGAGCCTTCATGTCGAAGCAAAAACAAAAGCTAAAGCTAAAAGCTATTGATATTTAGATGGACTTGAGGATGAATAAACAGTACACTTGCAGCAGGTCAGCCTTAAGTTAATTTTTAGGTGTCCACATCTCGAGAATTTTTAATTACTCGAGATAAGAAAACTGAACAAAATAAAGTTCGAATCTGTACATTAGCTATGACTATAAAAAAATCTTCGATTTTGTTAACTTAACCCTAACCACTACTGTATTATAATCGGAGCAACTATGGGTACTCAATCTTTGAGAAGTGGTTAGTTGGCCATTGAGTTTCAGTTCAATTATATGATTGTAACAAATTTATTAAGCAATAAATCTAACAATTATTTGCTAAACAAAGTTATCCAAACTTGAAAATAAGTTATACTCAACAGCCGGAATGAAAAATCAGAATTCAAACGATTCCTTGATTATAATACTTTCATTCAATTTGAAATGGTATCACAAAAATTGAACAATAATTAATGTAAATTTCTTACCTATTATCAATATTTGGCACAATGGTAAAGTAATGTTTAACGGTTGATTTCACATAGGACTTTAAGAGACTCTTGTAAAACACAATCTCATGTTTAAGTTATTTCCAAAGATCACTGGACGATGATTGAAACAAAACAGATTGACAACAATGTTTACTATGAAAATTATCAACAAATTATCAAGAGAAGGAGAAAGAGCGCTTTTGAAATGTTGTTTGCCTTCAAGGAAAACTGGAGACAAAACATTGAGCGAGGCATTTTCTTGAGACGTCATCTTTACATCCAGACGTCATATTCAACATGCCAAGGTTTGATCAGTTTTCTTCTTGCTCTTGATGGCCAGAGTTTACCTTGTTGTTTACCATAGATAAGTCAGATGTTTGAGGAAAATTTTGGGTAAAAATTAAATCAATGATAATTTCAAGTTGCAATCAAGACTCCAGGCTTGGATTTTGGCCGCTATTAAATCATATCAAGATACCTGTTCTCATCTTGCTTTAATATCCATGACGATTGTCAAAGATTTGCTTGGATATCACTTTAGCAATTTTTATCAAACAAAACCAAAGTACCAGAATTATGTAAGGTCAGATGTCTCTGTTTTTGTACCACCAAATTCAATCTTCTTGAGTAGTTCGATTGACTATTCAAACTCCCCAAAAATTGTTCAAAATAATAAATTGACAATGTTTTGCCAGAAACTGGTGAAATGAAGAAAGGAAAAAAACTGGATTAGTTCCAAGATTCATTTTGATCTATTTAAAGCAACTTGGTTTATTAGCAGACTCGTAGTAAGTCTATCTACTTTATCTGAAAGATAATTTGAAGAAGTGAATTCAAAATCCACTGTTAACTTACCACTGTTGATTAAATTCATTTTGTCCAACTGATTTGGTGAGTATGCCAAGCTTTATAGTACTTTATAGCATGAACCAAGCATGTATAACACTCCAATTATTGATTCATCTATCGTTGACACTTCCAGTATCAAAAAATCTTAATAAAATAATCTCGACTGGTTGAAAGGTGGGTGAAAATAAACAACCTTACACTGGTAACGATTGTTGAGATTGGTTGAATAAAATAATCACTCATTTATTTGTACTTTGAGTTACTAATTTTCAATTTTTTCAACAGTGACGTTCAAAGACAGAAAATTTCTTAATCTTTAACTGAATAGATTTGAGTAAACTGAACTTAAAATCATGAAAGACACAATTGAAAAATCCATGGAACAAATGGAAAAAGATAAGCAACAGGCTTTGGATAGAGCGCTAACAGCTGAGGAATTGACTGCCATTGCCCAAGCAAGAGCAGAAAATGTAATTATTCAAATCAATTGATTTAAAATATAATTTTTTAAGACATTAATTGGTTTTTTGTTTCATTGAAAGGCTGAAGATAAAGCAAGGAATCTCAAAGAAAGGTTACTGGCAATGGAGGAAAAGCTCAAGAAAGCCAAGGAAATTCAAGAGAAAACAATGGAAGAGATAAGAAACAAGAAAAATCGTATAGAAACGGTAAACTTGAATTTATGACTAAAATTGTGAGATAATTTGTAAATAATGTTTATTTTTCACCTATTTAGATACAATCACAGACGGTATCTTTATCGTCAGCTATAAGTGTGCTTGAAGCCAAATCTGAAACTTTAAAGGCGGCTCAAAAAGAGGTAATGTAGGACTCTCAAAAATATATCTAGCAACGTCTTAGATAGTCCAATTCAAAAATTATTGAAAATTTTTTGGCTATGCTAAGATTGACAATCAATATTTGGTTTAGTATAAGATAGCCAGTTAACATTGATTTTTTTTCTGTAGTTGATGACACTCGAGGAACAAATGGAAGCAGTAGATCAAGAAAAACAAAGAAAATTTGCTGAAATGGAGGCAGAAATTGCTCGAACTCGGGAAATGAGTATTAAACGTGAACAAGAAATGGTGGCCAAACTGGAAGAGTTGAACCAAAAATCAGAAAAATTGAGACAAATGACCTCCAAACAAAGTAAAAAATAAACCAAAACATCAGAATTAAAATGCAGACATGTAATGATATTGATGAACTTGAGCTGGTGAACCTAATTGAAAGATTACTAGAATCTACTTATCAATAAGTGGCGATTTTCGTTAAAAGGATTGTCTATCAAAATGTCTACTGAAATTGATTTTGATTTTAATGTAAAATTACACAATGTATTACACAATAAGAAAATAATGTTTTGACAGACTTTGCTTCAAATTAATCTCGTTTAAAACAAATCCCGGCAAAACAAAATTTGACAATGAAAAATTGATTGGTTGATTGGTTGACCATGGTAGGATAACAAGGTGACTGTTCAAATGGTTAGAAAGGGTCTTTACATAGAGCAACGGCAGTGAATCTAAGACATTGAGGGTTCTTATCAACATATTTACGGCAAACTTTGATTGCATCACTAACGAAAGTGTCTGCACTAGATGGGCCATGGGCGACTGGGCCCTGTTTGCGACCATCCATCTCGTATAAAACTCCATTAACTTGGACTAAAGCAATGAAATGACAATCAACATGAGAGGTGGGATCTGGAGCAACAGTTTGACCAGTCTGGGCACAATCATGATGAGTATTGTTGATTTCAGTAGAGTTAACCAATAGATCGGCTTTATCGTAAGGAGACAAGTCTTTTGTTTTATCGATGAACTTTTTAAGACTAGAGTCTTCAGTGAAAGTAACCGTGTTGGTATTATTAGCAACAGCATGTAATATTGCCATGGCACCACAAGCATTTCCAATAGTTTGCTTCATAAAATAGACGTCCTTATCAGTGACAGGCGACGAATCACCGACTGGGATACCATCCTCGACTTCACTCAGAGGATACAAAAGGATTATAGAAACGACTGTAGGACTAGGGATAAATTGTATCGATTCGTCATCAAACCCGTAAACATCGACAAACTTCCAATCCGTCGTAACGCCCAAGTTTTCAATAAAACTGTTCAATACATCTGGATTTGATTCTAAAGGAATCCAATTGAGACTCATGATTTCTTCAAATTAATATAAAAAGACAAGCTAAAATTAAAGGACAATAAAACTCGGAGGGTCAACAGTTGAGAAATATGAAAGCAACAAACAAAAGCAAGAAGGGTAAACTGGTGATTCAAAATGACACAACATTGATTGAGTTTAATGGCTATTGAACACAATCAGGGAAACTGCTTATGGTGCCACCTCTCTTAACCAATTTCATCTTTTTTTTATAACTCTTTTTTGATACAAAAAAAATTGATTGCATTGTAATTTAATTTATTTTCATTTGCTTACAAAACACTTTAACTTTTTATTATTCTAAACAGGCATTTTATTCTAATTTCATTGGCTCAATTTTAATTTAATTTTATGTACACAAAAGATTAATCATTACATGTAAATATCTTGAATGGAGCAACGTAATTTTCTTTAGCTTTTTTGGGTTGAATCACTTTGATTTTCATGCGAAAGTCTCTTGGCTTCAGCATCTTCAATCCTTCTTTGAATTTCTTCTTTTAATCCCTGAGAAAATAACTGTCATTAGAATTTGAATAATTAAATGGAATAAGTGATTGTTAACTTACATCAAATGGTCGATAATATTCATGGACAATAGATGATCCGACCATAAAACAGGCGGCACAATAAAGACCTCTGAAGATTACTTCAAAGCTAGACATTTTCAACAGCTGATTGAAATAATTGTTTAGTTACAGTGATGAATGTAAAAATCAACTCTATGAAAATTTATTTAATTTTGGGGTTAGTGTTAATCATAACGTTTCAAGAGATTGTTGTTTTAAGTATGGTGTTCAAGAATCCAAAACCTTTTATTTAGATGACTTGAATTGTTTAGAAAGGCTTCGAGTAATCTGCATGGCATTGAAATTTGAAAAAAACGCCAACAAATTTACCAATAGAAACTGGTCTATTGAGATAAATTTCCGAGTTCTTTTAGTTATCATTGGATTTAGCTAACAACCCAGAATTTTCTTGGCAATTAGCCTTTCGGCTGAAGGATGAAAATTATCGTAACAACCTCACTTTATCGTTGATTCATCAATACTCAGATGTATTTTGATATTAATGTCGTAACAAGAGATGCTCTGGTTACTAGTAACCGATTACTTGATAAGAAGGAAAAAAATAGCAAATATTGTTAACTCAAGCCGGCTACTTTGATCATTAAGAAAGTCAATTCCATTCTGCATGATAAAATCTAAAAAAGTGATTTAAGTGAATTGCGAGTTTATTGTTCAATAAATGAAAGGAATTGAAAGCTGGTTACAGCAATTGATCTTACAAATCTTGGCGCTTCAAATTTTGAAGTCATCAAGTAACTGGTTACTTGTAACCAGGGAGAAACTAACCACGGTTACTGGCTATACAAATCATTTTATTTGGTAAACATAGCTTTTTTGTGTACAATAAATTTTATAATTTTAGCCGATTGTTATTTGTTGGATTCCAATTTACCGTTTGCTACTTTGCTTCTTTTCGACTTAATGGTATCCAAGTCAAAATTAGCTCTATTAGCTTCAATAACTGTTACTGCTTCCATATTTATCGGTGTTAATGTCGCCCAAGATTTAGAAAAGCGTCGTGTTCGAGCTGCTGTTCTTCATGATCTGCAAAGACTCAAAGAAAAATCAGATGGATTGTGAGACCAAATCTATCAATTCTGATGGAGATGATAAAGCTAACTTTGGTGGTGTTGCAAGTCGTGTCCACTTAGACGAAGACACCTTCAATCAATTGGACAAGAAAGAATTATGGGAAAAATGGAAAAAGCAGGAAAGTTACATCGATTTCTTAGAAAGAAAAGGCGATTGTATTGTGCAGCCTGCGAGTGACCATAGTAGTTTGAAAGAATACGAAGAAAGACTAAAACAACAACAAAATGAAGCTTGTAGACGTGAAAACTACCTTTTATTGAGATTGACACGGAAGGAACAAGAAATTACTGAATACAAGGTATAATTTATTATTTATTATTGAGTCCTTTTGTTTAATTTTCAACAAATGGTTTATTTCCAAATTTTCATTAGTCTACAATTTTTATGTATCTAAATTTCTTAATAATTTCTTATCATATCCTATCTTTCCAGAATCGCATTCAAGCAATGAGAGAAGAATTAATACCATCCGACTCCAGGCTTAATTCAACCTTATTAGACCCTGCACTTAATTTGATGTTTGAAAAGATGAAATCAGAGGTTGCATCTTCTAAAGAACGAGTCGAACAAATGCAAAACGAATTGGCAGCTTGGAAATTCACAACCGACAGGTAAAAAATGTTTGCAATGAACATGCTTTTTAAGTTTCCAATTAGATTTGTGCAACTCTTAATTCTGTTTTCAAAATTTTATTCACAGTCATATGGGCAAACAACTTATGGCTAAGTGTCAATCACTTTACAAAGAAAACGAGGAACTAGGAAAGACCATTGAATCTGGGGCAATTGGTAAATTAGAAGGAGAATTAGCTCTACAAAGAAGCTTTGTCGAAGAGATGAAGAAAAGTCAAATGGGTATGTTATTTTATTGTTTTACAGAACTGAAGTTCACTAATAAAAGCATTCGAAAAGTGGCATTGATAGTTCAAAATTTAGTATTAAATGGTATTATCGTTTTTTGAATAATTTACATATTTTTTTCTATCTCTCCTCAGAAACTGATGAATTTTTATTCGAGCTTGATGAAGAAGTTGAAGGATTACAGTCAACCATTTTCCATCTTAGAAACCAACTTAAGGAAATAAAATCTGAAAGTGATCAAACTGCACCACGTCCAGTTGAACTTACCTCAACGACTTAATTTAACAACAAAACTTTTAATTAAAACCATTCAGTGTTTTAAATCGATAAAGAAAAGAGCTGAATTTCATAGAGTCTGTAAATCTTTGTAATTTGAACACTTCTCTCATTGTACTCTAGTAAAATATTTGTACTCTTTCATCATTGGTTGATGATCTAATTAGATCTAAAATAACGCTCTCTAGTTTTTCATTTACTTATTTTAATTTATAATTGTGATTAGAGGATAAACGTTTTCTTTAAATGCATCAATGACATAAATTGACTAGAACGATTAATTAGAACGAGAATAGCAAAGTTTGAATAAATTTGGGTTTAGCTGGAGTCGGAGGAATTGAAATGAAACTGGAATAAATAAAAAATGATCGGTTTAGATTTACATAATATGAATGAGATTTTATGTATCAAAATTGATTAGAAACAATCAAAATATGAAGATGATAGGATGGTTTGAAAATCTACAAAATAATATATTGTAATAATTTGTTAAATTATTTGTTTATAATGCAAACAAAGTTATTCAATTTGTTTTTGTACTTTTGAATTTACATACAAAGAATATACATTTAATAAATACAATTAATTTTAAAGAAAATTCATGATTATGTAGTTAAAATACAAATTGACTTCGCATATCTTCAAGTTTCTTGGATACTTCAGCGGGTAAGTAGTTTAGATCTTCTGCAATGGCTTTTTGTTTGTTCAAGTCAATCAGATTGAATTGTTCAACGAGATCACCATCAATGACATTTTTGACCGGGAAATAGTAAGATCGGAAAGAAAGATGCTCTCGACCACATAAAGGTGCAGCTTCAGTACGAAGGTGCATTTCAATATGTTGGAAGAAATCATGTTCTTCTTGAGAAGAAAAAGGAACCATGACTCCAACAGTTCCAAAAAGAGTTGTATAAAGAATCAGTTCAGAGAGTCCAGGAATGAGTGTAGTTTTCTGAAGCGAATGAATGATTTCGCCAACATGGAAATTACAGATAGTCTCTACTTTTTGAGATGCTCCTCCAAGCCAACCTCTATCCCATAATGATTTGACTCCAGTAGGATCTTCATCAACATCATCGGTAATACCGTGAGGTAACCTGAGGACACTGAAATTACCAAATTTGTCACCAATGGCAACAGTTTGATAATCAATCAAACAAGAAGCTGTTATCCAACGAGGAGTAGAATCGTCAGCAAAAATCACAAGCTGATTATCTGCAGCCTTATAACGCACAAAGAAAACACTCTCTTGAATATCAGTTACATAGATACGATTTCCCATGGCGTGAACTGATACAATACAATAAGGAAAATGTTTGTTTTCGCATTTACGAAGTAGTTTTTTCTTTCCAATGTCGTAAATTCTCAGCAATCTTCCAATGCTGATCAGAACTCTTCCTTGGAACGGGCATATTGAATGAGGCACATCTTCGATTGGAGTGCTGTGCATCCATTCTAGACGCTTGCCATCATCTAAGATACTATAGGTTTCTATACTGCCACTCTTAACTTTTTTTGGGTTTAGCTGAAGCTCATGAGCAACACCAACAAGGAGGAAAGGAACATCGCCGTGTTGTGCAAAACGTACGATAGATATACTAAGCGCAGCTTCGTTTTGCTTAAGTGGAACTTTATGGTGAGTCTGGCCTGAAATTGGATCGATAACTCTAATTAAAGAAGCCCATTGACCTACTCCAGCCTTAGGAGCACCAAAGATATTCTCAGGAAGATCTTCACTGATAAATGCAGCAGCCATTTCCGCTGCTATTTCTTGTTCGTCTTCACCTGCAGCCTCGACCATTTCTAATGCCAGTTGTTGCTTTCTAGCCTTTTTAGATTCTTCTGTATATGCATTGTGGTCTGTTTCAATAATCATCAAGTTACCGCTTTCAGGATGAATTGCGAATTTTCTTGGAGTATATTCAAGGGGGAATGATTGATGATTAAATACTGCTCCTAATTTTTCAAGAGATAAAATTCTTAAAGTATTTCCAGAAATAGCAACAATGCCTTCAGGACATTGTTCAGAGGTAAAACCAGAAGCAAATTCAAGTGTCTCATATGACAAAGGAGTAAGATGAAAGCGACTTTGGTGATAGTAAAGTAACCAACAACGACTGGATATTGCTAGAACTGCATCACAGCCTTGCATTTGAATACGGAATAATTTAACTGGTCGAGTTCCCAAATATCGAGTTCGAGTATCAGTCAGATCTCCAGATGCATGGTCAAGGATGAACCTTAAAAGAACACCATTTTGCAAACCAACGTTAAGATACAGCCTTTCACTCGAAACATCTCTCAACTCCTTACTTCCGGCGCCCATTTCTACAATGGAAAGAGATTCGGGGGGTGCAGGTACGGCGTTGTGCGATAATGGTGTGAGACAATCCTGATCAAAATAAAGAAGATAGTTAATTTAAACTCTTGCAAGCAGATATAGAATTTTAAGTGAATCTTAGAAACTCAGAATAAGGTGTCAACATAGTGAATTCAGCTGAAACACGGACGATATAAAATGTATTCATCATTGATATTTTAGTCAAAGTTAGATAAATAATTTTACTTACATTAGGATCTAATGAAACAACTCTAACAGTGTTGTCAGCTAGTCCGATTGCTAGAAAACGAGATCTTTGTTCACTTGAAGGCACAGCCCCAAGAGCCAAACAAATGACTTCACAGGCCATATCCTTTCTATCAGTATATTCATTGAGTTGTCCACTAACATCCATCTCAAAGTAAACCAACTCACCACCGGTTAAAGCAATGACAACTTGCCGATGATTAATAGCACACTTCAAAATATGCCTTTTACCGGGAGTACGCCATTCATTAACTCTTTTATCTGCGCGAATATGACGGATACCATCAGGATAGATCTGAAAAAGAAATAAACTTGATGAGCTACTATTCAGGAGTATTGAAAAATTTTCTGTAGAGTTTGGAGTAGAACTTACCTGAACCAGTGCATCAGTTCCTATTTGACCACAAGCAAGGGTCGGTGTTGTTCCCAAGAAACCTGAGTCAGTCACTTCTTCTACGGTTTCCCCGATAGAAAGGACTAATGTGGCATTTATAAATGACACAATGATGTAAGCATCATACTCCTCGTCAGCCCGCCGCTTAACAGTCCAAACAGCATTGGGGGTTCCTGGTAACTCAGATACCGCCATTTCAGAAACTTCAAGTCCATGCCTTAATACTCTTAAAGTGGACCTAGGTCCTCGACCACAGGTCATTAGCAGTTGAGGTGTGTCTTCATTGGCTATATCTGCAACTTGACATGACATTATTGGGGATAACGATTCAAGTTCATCTACTAATACCAAATTTTTTAAAGGTCTTGGATTAAAAAAGAATGTATCGCCCTCTTCAAGCAGCATAGCGCTACTTAATTCAGGTTCATCATCATCATCACCCAAATGAGCTATTTGATACAGATAATGATTACCAAATTCCGAGGCAACAAAGAGGAAACCCGTTTTCAATACACACATTGCAGTTGCAACGGGTACAGTGTCAAAATACTTGAGACGAATTTCCATGACAGTTTCGTCTTCGGTTTCTAGAGTAATTTTAAAAATGTCTCCTTGTTCAGTCTGAACTAAAAAGAAAAACATTGATTTGGTTTTGTGGGTAGCACAGCAAACAAAAATCATTCCTCGATCAGGATCATCGAGGTCATTTCTCCTACGCGGTATTGGACAACGAATATCATGTTGATCTCCGAAGTTCTTATAAGTAATGTAGTTTTCTGAGCAAACGAGAACACCACTCGGTCCATCAGCACCTCCAGGAACAGATATTAAAAAGTTGCCATGTTCTTCCAAAGGCTCACTATATTTTCGTACAACATGGTTCAGCCCTAAATCTAATTCATAAAAAGTTAATGTTTGCTGAGTTTTTTGAGCAGCTTCGCCAGTAGGATCGTTATCTGCTTCTTCATAATCCATCTCGAGACAGGCGAACATTGGATTATCAAAGCCCACATCGATACCAACAGTATGATAAACCAAGGTATTTGATTTGTGAGCTTCTAGGGGAGAAGAAATAGTCAACCGCGCTTGACTATCTCTGTTTAAAATATAGACTAATTTTTGTTTCTCAACAGCACCTAAAGTGATGAAGAATAATAAGATTATTAAAGTTTAATAGACCACAATACTAATTTACTAGGATTAGCTTCATTACAAAATTATCAGAACTTCTTAGAGGGTTAATAAATCACAAAGGGTTCATTAGCATAATTTTTCATCATTTAAAATTGTAATGTATGCTCTAATTAGTCAAAATTGCTCATGAACTTACTTATCATTAATGCTCTTCCTTTGGGGTCAATAGCTAAATATTGTCCGGGGACAATTCGACGACATCCAGTTTTGCCGTAAGTTTCTTGGTGAACCTAAAAAGCGGCAACAAAAATTAATAAAATATAACAAAAGAATAACCATAATTACCTTATCGAAAACATTTTTAGTTGGATTGTATTCAAGAATGACAATTCGCCCAGAATCAGAACCAATAGCTAAATAATCTTTGGATCCTCCAGTTAAACGAAAAGCCAACATGGACCGTATTATACCAAAAACTTCAACAGATACGAGAGTATGAATTTTGCCGGTATTTATATCAGGTCTAATGAGCTCCAAGGTTCTTCCTTTAGAGATGGCAATCTCTTGATGTTTAGTGCCAGCAAAATTACCATGAATAGCATGGGTAATCCCACTGGCCCTTTGAAGGGTTATATTGTACAAATGCATGGCACCAAGTTTTAAAAAAACATTTATCTAAACACTTACAATAAATGATAATTTTTTAACTTAAGAATCAGATTCAAATTTTCTGAACCCTTATAAATACCGAAAACAAAGCGCGTGCTTCCGGAGAGTTGCTAAGCAATCCAATAGTCAGAACAGAAAGATAAAAATAACCGCTTTTTTCAAAATCATAGAGTTTTGATGAAATAAAAACAGACAAATTAAATTTCTTCATAAATTGACATAATTTATTCAAATTAATTAATTTCCTCCAATCAAGCAATTGATAATTTTAAATTTTACCAACCTATGACATTCAACTTAACAGTGATCGATAGTAACAATGAAAAATCATTAACATTTCAATCCAATTTGATCAATAATAATTGTTTCCTAATTTAAACGATCCAAATGATTACCTTATTACCAGTAATGGAATCAAGTTTTGTAAGATTCATCCTTATTTGTCTCTTTATTTCTCACTTTTGTCTTATTGTTCAAATTGTCACTATTATTACTTTTCTCACCATTTAATTCCAGTTTAGCGATAATTTCCTTCTTAAAACTATCACTATTACTGCTGTTATTAAAATTGTTGTTTAAATCACTTGATGTTTGCTTATTAATTAAACTGGCCTCTGTCTTGATAGCCTCTTTATCATCTCTTTTAGACCTTTCCTTTTCATTTTTGGACGATTTACCTCCATCTTCAGGTTTATCAGTTGTTACAGCATATAAATCATCATTTCGATTGAAATGATTTTCCGATTTAAGACAATCAACTGTATTGACAAACCGACAAGTAAAGGTTGTCTGGTCAAACAGAGTATAATTTGGACACAAAAAGTCATATCGATGACCCAAAGCACAATGATGATAAACCTGAAAGAAATAAAAAAAGGGAACAAAATTAGTTGATTATTAAAAATGAATGTGAAATGAATTTTCCATTAGTCATTAAATTGTTGCAAAAAAACATAAAAAGACAATTTGGATCAATTGTTAACCTTAAATTTACTTTTCAGTTACAATAGTTGACCATAAAAATTGCAAACAAATTAACTCTAAGCGTCAATCTTAATTATGTCAACTTGACCAATTAAATGTTAACCATTTCTTGTTATAAGACCATTTAGATGAGCAAAAAAGTGAAGCGCTTTTAATGATGATTGAGAGAGGAAAGTAAAGTGATTAAATTTACCTGACACTTGTGTTCAATGGAAGCATAATAACCATCATGTCGACCTTCACAATTGAAATGAATCTCAGTTGGCAGTGAAATATAAAATGGATAATCAGTTAGATCGGCTCCTTTCAATTCATGAGGGAAATTGGGATCAACCATGTAATCAATTATCCTGTTGTCAGGTCGAGGCTTATAATTTGGTGATAAGGTTTTCGTGGTTGGGGCTGGAGTTGTGGTCGTAGTGGTTGACGGAGTTGTACTTGTTCGCTGTCTTCGACCTCCTTGACCTCGTCGTCCCTTCCTTCGAGGACGATGGGTGGTTGTGGTTGTTGTCGGATAGTCATACTCGTAATCATCATTATCGTCATAATCATCATAATAGTATGGAGCTGGTGGTGGTGCAGTTGTTGTTGTCGTTGTTGTGGTTGTGGTTGTTGAAGGTCTATTTGCTGGTCCTGCAGCCTGGTTGGAACCCAATGGATTTCGAGGTCGTTTACGTCGACGTCGACCTCCTCCCGGTCGACCAGCAGGTCTAATGCGGAAAGGTCGTGTTCCAGGGTCCGATTGGTTTGGTTGGTCAGACTCGCTGGTTGGTGCAACTGTGCCAGTCTGTCCAGGTGAATCATAATCATTTCTAACCGAGAAGGAAAGTACAATTAATTTCGAGTTGAACAAATACATTCAAGTAAAAAAAATTAATGAACAAAATCGTTTTCATGATTTTCCTTCAAAAAATATAAAAAATGTTGCATTTTGTCCGCAATTTCAATTTGGAAAACAAATCTTCCAAAAATCTTTGAATCTCAAAGTTTCCTTTAAAAATCATTATTAAAGCAAATTGTTAAACTCATCTCCTAATCTTGATCAATTAAATTAACTATTAACTTTACAAGAATTTAATTTCTAATCAAATCCATCAAATGCTTATTTTTGTCACAAATCAATAAAGTTTTCCATTCTCACTGAAAAAGCTTTGAAAATGGAATAAAAAATAGCTGAAAGTGATTTAAAGGTTTGAATCAAAAGAATTAAGAAAGTTGATTAAATCTTGAATTGAAAGTTCAAATTGTTTCGATTAGATGAGCGAAAAAGAAATTTTTTCAATTTATTTCAATCAATTCAATAATTTTGCGTTTTTCTGGTTCAACAAACAATTGAAACTTTCCTTTAAAAAAAGATGAAAAGTTTACAAATCAATTTATTGGGTTGAGTCAAGCAAAACTACGGAGCTTTGATCATCGATATTTCAATTTCATTAATCACCTTCGATTGTAACCTCACATATTGGTGAAATGCTCATGTTTAGTCACCAAAAAACTTCGATTCGACCGTTGGTTCAAAATTGATCTCAAAATAAACGAAAATTTCAATTTTCTTAATTTTCCCTCAGACATTGATTCCGTTTTTGGTAAATTAGACTTAATTTGTGAAAAATCGCCCCGAATTGAGAATAATTCAGATCAAATTTCCGTACTTTTTGCTGGACTCAACCTATTATTGAAAATAAATGAATGTTGATTCAAGATTGAGTTTATTCAAATAAATCATGAGATTAAATAGCATTTAATAGATTAAAATTAGATTATGGATGTTTCTATTCCGTCTGAATGTTTCTTTGCTTTACCATTAAAACTCGCTATTATACAATTGTCTAACAAATCACGATTCAAAATCATGAGTTTCATGATAAAATTTAATGTTCATCAAACAATTGGTAAACAATTGATTCTGATAAATGAAAAGAGACAAAATATAAAGAAAGAAAAAAAATGGAAAACAATCCAATTCCTTGATTGACCGGAACCATTGACCCGATCAACCAAGTTGACCAACATATCAATGTATCTATTAAAAACATGTTATATCCAAAAATCGTGTTCGAACTAAATAGTTAAACTAAAATTGCGAATAATTGAAATAAATTTATGCTCATTTGTTAACAACGATTAACATTATTTTAAAGGAAATGAGCGCTACTCTGAATGGGACAAATTTTGAGTATAAGTTGAAAATTTTGATGATTTAATGTTATTTTTTGAGCAAATATGAATAATAATAACTGATCAACAAATGCGGTTATTTGTAAATGTAATATCAAAAGTAATCAGACGTATTAATAGCAATGAGAAAGTTAAATTGTAACAAACCAAAAGACAAACCCAAATTTTTAGGTTTAAAATTGTGTTTAATAATGATTATTGTAATTTAGATTGGATCAATCAGTTAATTTGTTTTCACAATTTTACACACCAATTGATGTATAAAAAGGTAAACCCAAATGAAAATAAACTTTCCAATTTGGAAGCATTTGTTGGTATAAAAAGTAACTTAATTGTCAACATTTATTTCCACCTAAATTCATAGTTTAAATCACCTTAAATGGTAAACTAATGAAGTGAAGTTGATAGCCGGCGTGAAAATAACAGAAAAACATGCAAAAATCAGGCCAATTTAGAGTAACAACAAAATCTATCCGATTAACAATTCTAATAATATTGATATCTATCAAGTTGATAAGTCTAATGGACTTTATTAAAACACTAATTTTCATTTTTGCTGTTCTCATTAGTATTTTGTATTTTCAGTCGAGATGAGGAAGTGAATGAAGAAATGAGTGAAAATTAAAGACGAACCTGTAATTTTGAGGTTGACCGCGGTCATTTGTCCGATCGAAATTATTATCGTCATTATTGTTGTGTTGGTAGCGGTGACTTGGTCTGGGCGTTGTCGTGGTTGTGGTTGTTGAAGTTGTGGTTGCAGTTGCTTGAGAGTAAAATTGATTACGATGAGATCGATCATTTGAGTGGCGATTATTCAATCTTGGGTTTGGATTGTTTAATCGGGTTGTTGGTTGATCAGGATAATCGTAATTAGGTTGCCTCTGTCTGTCACCATCATAATTGTAATGATAATCTCTCGAGATTGGCCTGGTTCTGGTTAGTTCGGTTGATGCTCGTGTTGTGCTTGTTGTACTTGTTGTTCCCCTTGTAGGTCTACTTGTGGGTTGACTGGGTAAAGGTGAGGCCGTTGTTAAGCCTCTTCCATTGTAACCAACTGGTTCATCTTCATCAACCAAATGATCAGCAATCATGGTTCGATAGTGAGATGATGGTCTACGACCAGTTTGAGAGTTTCTATGAGACTGAGGTCGAGATTCAAACTCAGAGTTACCCGACTGATAGTGGGACAGGCCGACCATTGAAAGATCCGAATAGGTTGTGTAAGGTAGAGATGAAGTTAAAGTAGGTGGCAATGTGGTTACAAAGTATGGACGTGGAAGTTGCTGACGAATATCTTGGTTGGGAATTAAAATGGTCGGAGGTCGAGCAGCATTGATGTAGGCATGGTTTGATTGACGGTAATCACCAACAGTTTGAGGTCTAAAATAGCGAGCTCGATTACCACGAACAGAATCAGAGTTTTCAGTGGATCGGATTAGGGAAGGATGAAGTTGACGGGAAGAAGAAGAGGATGACGAGGATAGACCTGATGATGAACCTGGAACAATACGAGTGAACCCACTTTCCAATCCAAGAGTTTCCCTGTTTCTTGATGGTGAACCTCCTCGAGACTCGTAGTGTTCATAGTTGGGTCGATATTGAGGGTTAGACTGTCCATTATTGGTATTACCGTCTGAACCCGATAATAAACTTGACTGAGGTCGAGGTAAAGTACCTTCAAAATCCTCTGAATTGCTTTTAAACCTTGAAAAGGAATTGACTGAGTCTAGTGAGTCCGAGTTGCGAAAATTTTGCTTAAAATGTGGACTTCGAGGTTCAATTGTATCACGAATTTCACTTGACCCAGGGTCAAGCAATTCTTTACCTTCTTCATTCTCTTTCATGTCAACCTCCATAAAGTGTGATATTGGATCACTTCTTGGTTCCATGTTGGGATCCGATTGAATCTCTTTAATCTTGATTCGACGTCGACTACCAAATGAAGTGGATCTTGATCCATGATTAGCTTCGTAGGGAGATGCGGATGAAGCTGATGAAGCTGATGATGGCGATGCTAATAGGGAAGCTGAAGATGAATTGTAATTCCTTTTGGCTGATGATGAACTGTTTGGCACAATAAAATCGTCAAATTTATATTCAGAATTTGATTCAATGAGATGATCAGCAGATGGCAACAAGGAGGGTGACTGTTCAACTCGACGGACTCTCATTCGACCTGGCCTTCCATTGGGTAAAATGGATCCTGATCGAGGAGCCGAGGAAGATTTAATTTCCTCATCAGATTCTAAATAGGAAATGTCACCTCCATTTGAATCAACTGAATCTTGCATGTAACCATACCGAGTGTTTCCTCTAATTGTTTTAGCAGGAAGAAAATAGAATGAAGTTCCATCTGAACCAGAATCATCATTTAAATCTTCAAACAATTGATCTTGACTAAGACGTCTCTTTATCTGTAAAAGCAACAAAAAATAAATGAAGAAAAATTAAAATCGCAAATCAACATTCACTGAGATGCAAGTGTAAAAAATTGGAAATTGAAATAAACTGGAATCATTAATCATTGATTTTTCTGCTAATTATTTGATTCTTTATCACTTTTCATTTAAATCACTGATTTGATGAAGACAAGAAATGAATTGAGCTTTCCATTAATGACAATTTGAAAGTGAAATTTACTTTAAAATCCAAACTCATTCATTGAAACATAATTAAGATTAGTGTTTGAATTGAGTTTTCACTTTCAATTGCTATTCAGGTTAATCCTGATGAAACAAAGAGTTGAACATGAATATAATTATACCAACAATTATAATTAAAAGGGTTCAAGTTAAAAGTGAATCAACATTTGAAAGGTTAACAAATCTGTAGGCGGTTATTGTAACAGTAAATTACAAGAAATGATGATTAACAATTGACGGATCGATGAGATCAACTTGGTAAATACGGTGAAAGCGATTAATTATTGGTTAATAATAATAATAATTTATAAATTTTCGCCGTCTTTAAATTGTCTTATTTGACAAACAATTAATGATTAAAGTGATTGATGTTTCCATTTTTTTGTTTGAAACATTCAACGACAATCAACCAATTCAAAGGAAAATTTTGATTGTTAAAGTTAAAACCTAAATAGGCTAATGTCATTTATTGTAATAATAATAATATAATCATAATCATCGTCATCATCATTATCATTCAAGGTAATCAAATGATTGTTTGTCAAGAAAACTGTTCAATCCAAAATAATGTTGATTAACCTGATTAACATTTTTTGCTTCGTCTTCAGACATTTCTTTTAATTCACATTACATTTCCAATCATTAAGTGATGATATAATAATATCGTCACATTTTCACATCAATAATCAGTGAAATAATCATAATGAACAGATTCATCTTTTATATTGCAAAAAAATGTTGATCTAAAAATGATTAAATTTTTCTCAAGAATCTTTTATTTCTGCTTTTTTTCATTAATCGCATTGAATAAGCTTTCATCGAGTTTTAGAGCTCTTTTGATTAACCCTGAAAATTGACTGAATAAATTGTTACAGTTTATCATTTGCTGAAAATCATGCAATTGGTAAACTAATCAAGCTTTCACTTGAAATTTGTTTTGCTCGAAAAGTATAACAGCCTGTAAAAAGGATGATCACCTCTTAATCAACTGTTGATCTTGATCAAAATTAGTTGATTTGGTTTAGTTTGAAAAATGCGGCTATTTTAATCTGTGGCTCCATCTCATAGACCATTCAATTGCATTATTAAATTGAGTAACAAGAGTTAAATGATAAATAAGGGCAAATCGGTTCATTATTACAATTGTTTCTGTATATTTTCAGTGTGAATTTTTTGTTTATTTTCTCATAACTTTTTCTACTGTGACAATTAAGGAATTTAAGGTCAGTTTATTGTTAACAGATGAGAAAATCGGAGTTTGATTATCGAATATCAAATTCCAGGTCGAATGAAAAAAGGTATTTTTACGAAGTAAGTCAACATTATTTGTCAAAGTAAAGGTCAATTTTTCAAGGGTTTTTGGTACAAAATCCACATCTTTAGGTACATCTTATGGTAAATCTTCAGGATTACTATCTAAATTAAGACTGATGTGCAATCATTAATTGAACGACGAGGACCTGTTGATTTAATACAAAGTTGCTTCACTGTACCATCATTCATTGCAGGAAAGATTTCGTGTCCATCATCCATTTTTATCTAATTATCCAATAATTGTAATAACTTGACCATATTAGACTAAACAAGAAAATTAACTAAATATGATTAATCTAACAGAAATGCTTGGCAACTGTTCATCACTGAAACCCATTACTAATTACTACAATAATTATAGCTTTGTGCTTCGGATACTGCAGCTTTGTTAACCTGTACCAAGTGGAAAATTTTCCTATCAATTTTAATTGATATTCACGGAGTTTTGCCAATTTAAACAATAAGGAATGATGATAAAACGAGATTATTTGGACAAAATTTGGTTTCAATTGACTATCTATCTAATCATTTGTCCCTAATATGAATTTGCACTTGAATAGGTCACAATTAAAAGTAATCATGATAAACAAAGCTTAACCCAGCTTAATGTCAACAGTGTTGAATGAAAATTTGTTTCATTTCAAAGCAATTAGCCAAATTGCATTCATTCAATTTAAAGTTACCTTTAAAAGTTGCTAAAAAATTTCATGGTCAATTCATCACCTCATTTCCTCAACAAATTGGTCTCACTTTTACTTGACCTCATCTTTACTTCCTAATTTTTTGCTTTTCACCGCAAAAAAGAGCAAATCAATAAAAGATGCTGAGAAGATGATAACGAACAAAATCTCATTAAATAGGTAAGCAACAAATTAAGCATAATAATCAAATAATAACCAGTAAATTATAAGGTAAACATTCAATTTGAATTTCATAAACATGCAACAAACTTGCGCTTTTAAAGATGATTTTGTAGAGGAAAATGTTTCCAGGTAAAAATTGAAAATCAAAGGCAATCATTAATTGGTTGGTGTTTGGTTGAAAGGAAAAGAGAAACTAGAAAATGAAAATAAAGTTAATTGTAATGATGATTAGAGAAAAGGTGAATTACAATTTGGTGATTTGTGACCTCGTTTAAGATGATTTGATCAGACAATTTTTTCTCCTCTTCTCTTGTTCATTTGCTTTATCCAAAAATTCATCATTACCTGTTGAGTTGTAAAAACAAGGTAAACGCTTCAATGAACCTTTTTCCGATCCAAACAAATAAAAAACATTCAACTCGATTGAATTCAATGATATCTATTGTAAAATCCAGTAAAAATATCCAACATGAATTTGAACATTTTTCACATTTTCATCAATTTCTCAGCGAATTTCATTAAAAGATATTCACAGACAGATCTGATAAAATGTTGCTTTATATTTGAAGGCTAATGAGAAATTATCTTGCACTTTTACCTGAGAAAAGAAAAGCATGTTCAACTGAATGATAAAATGCTCCTTGAAATAAGGTTATAATTGTTCACAGAGTGAACCTGAATCAATCGGCAATCCAATTGCAAGTCAAATTGATTAAATTTTGTGTCAATTTTTTGATAACAATTTTCATGTAAAATGATGCCAATCGATAAACAGTTGTTCACCTTTTTTTGCTTACAGATTGACTGTGATGATGACTTTAGGATTGTGATGCTCAAAGGATAAGAGTTGACTTGGTCCAAAAACGCACTGAAAATTGTTCAATGGACGTGATAACGTTTCAATGATGAATCGTCTAAACCTTCTCTTTAGATGTTCAACACTATTATTTATATCGGCTTTCTAATCATTTCTCAATTGTTTCAATAATCAATTCATTTCACGGTTCCTTATTAACCGCTGCACTGAACAGTAACGTTTAGTTCATCAATCACCAAACAATCGAGTTAACCGGAATTAAAAAAATGCCAAGTTTAGGTAAATTGTGTAAGTTTGGTGCTGGTTAAATGAAAAGGCAAAAATCTGGTCTTTTCAACTTATCTGGATTCATTTGGAAAATTTGCTTTCATTTTCTCTCTGTAAATCTCTAAACTGATTTGCTGATTGAAACTTCACTCGTTAAAGTTCATCTAATTATTTTGAGCGATTAAGAGTCCTTTATATTGAAACAAAGTCTATTAACAGCTCTTAAAATCTTTAATGTTTAGTAAGACCAACAAGTATCGGGTTGAAGTGCCATTCGTTTTTAAATAATGTAAACCTCTACAAATCTCAAACCAAATGTTCAACTATTATTAGGCATATTATCGGCGAAAGGTCGACTCACTATGACACATTTGTGCGAAAAGCGCTAAGGCTTCAATGATCAGTTAGCTTTACAAGTCAATCAAAAACTGGACGCTCAGCTATACAATTTCAGTCTACCCATTCCATGAAGTTCATTAAAATTTATCAATATTTATGCAGTTATCTTATGCCGTTTAAGCAGCTTTATATACCTTTTACCCAAACAACTGAACTATCAACTTGACCACACATGTCTTATCCTAAGTATAGAACCCTAAATGTCTTCATTGATAGAATCAAATCAACTTTGATTGTCTGGTTATTAACATTTTGAAACAATTTATTTGCATGGACAACCAATATCATATGATATTAATAATAACAAAATGAAAATTTTAGTGATCTTCAAATGAAACCCTTTATAATGTTTGGCCTTATATTATTTCAGGACTAACATTGAAATAACTGTTACAATAGTTAATTATACCCGTAAAATGCTGATAAATTGTTGCATTAATCATTTTCATGTCAATTTTGAAATACATCTTTTGTTATCTTCAATCCTAAATGGTCAATCAAGGTGGTATTAAATGTTACCACTATCAAAGTAAAAATATATTTAAATTATAATCCAAAATAGATGATTGGAGTGGAAGAAGAAGTTAAATAATGTTGATCAAAATAAGATGGCAGGAAAGATATTTAGTTGTTTACAATCTAAATTGGGTTCAATCAAAAAATCGAGCAAAAGGTTGAAATAAACCCGAAAAAGTATGGTAAAGTTACACCTTTTTTTAATTAACATTATCAATGAAAAGCAATAGATTTGATTGTAAGCCATCAGCTGATGAATCAAAACCAATCAATAAGTAATGAAACATTTGCTATTAAAACTTGATTTCTCTATCAAATCAATTTGAAGCAATTATTAATTGAAATTGTTAATTGAAACATAAATTATAAACTCGGTTATTTAACCAAAGCTAAGGATTGAATTTCAAGGATTACCAATGATATTTATTATGGGCTGGTCAAGGTGAACCCAACTGTAGTGGTTAGTAAAGATTAAACATTTGCTACTTGTGAGCAATTAAGATCAATGATTAATTGTTGATTCTGTTTTTTATAGCATTTCTTGTTAAAGTGTAAAAATTTTGGTTAAAAGTGAATTAAATTGTTCAACATTTGATGTAAGGTGAGGTTGGTTGAAATGAAAAGTATTGTTGATGGAAGGAAAAAATTGAAACTTACAATTTTTTTGCTCAAAGTGCTATTATCTTTTAATCCAGGTTTGATTGCTTGATTAACCTGACAAAGGTTAATGATGATAATTGTTGTAATCAATATCCATAAAGTAGATTTGCTTGATTTCATGATTTATTTTTTATAATTGTTTCCAGCTTTAAATGTAAAACCAAATTAGCAAATGTTGAACAAACGCACAATTATATTTTAGATGAAGATGATGATATTAATGATGATGGGAGTGATGAAAAGATGAAAAGATGATCAAATGATATTTGCTTTAACTTTTTTTTAATACCTTTACGGGTTCGATTAACGGAAAGGTCAGAATCAATTTTCTTTAAGATTAACCAAGTTCATCTTATTTGGACAACTTGGAGGTTAACATCCAAGTTTTCCGGTAAATTACTTGTGTGTTGACTTGATTAACTGATCAACTGATTCTGGTTTGGGTAAAACAAATAATCCAGTTAAATTGATTGGAAACAAATTGGCAAACTGTTAACACCAAGAAAAGGTGAACATGGAATCTTTGTGCTGATTTGAATGGAAACACAAATTAATCATTTCCAAATGATCAATCACTAAATTTGGTAATGACACTGAAATTGACTGTTGAAGATGATGTTGATAATGGCGTTGATCGAGAACGGCTTCAAGAGTTTGTAAACAACAGAGAAAGTGAAGGTAAATGAAGCAAATTTGTTGAGATTGTGAAAGGTAAGAGAAGAACAAAAAATAGCTAATTTAACAGCAATTAAGATGAGCACAAATTGCGACTGAATAATAATGATAATAATAGGTATAAAAGGGAAGAAGGTTAATTTAGATTATTACTCCTTCTTGAAGAGCAAAAACAAAACAGCCAACAGAAAAAAAAGGAAAGACTTTAAGAGTTAAATGAGCAATTAGAAGAGTATTTAAAATGTATTAACAATTGGCTACTTTTAGGTCCAAAGTAAGATCGATGACCGCTCCTTTTGTTTTAATGATGAGAAACGGTAAATTAGTTTTAATTGTATTGAGATGTAAACTATTGAGATGTAAAAAAGATGCACGTAATACGGTCTTGGAAGCAGCAGCGAAAGAATGGTTATTTAAGCTTTAAAGATGACAATCAAGATGAGTTGAATCAAGATAATTAGGATGATTTAACAATGTTAATGTTGACTCTTGAAACTGGACACTGTTAATGGATCAGCTTATGTGAAAGTTGACAAGTAACTGTAATGATAATTTTAATTGTAGTTTTAATTTAAAGGACAAGGGAAAATAAAAGAGTTGAACTTGCCGGTTAACATGTGATTTATCCAATGGCAAAACCAGTAAAACAAAGTAAATCCTTTTTTCGGGTTTTTTGGGTTAACTTGAAATTTAACAATTTACACAATTAGAGTGTTGATCATTAGATGAGATGACAGTTAACCATGGGTTAACACTGGTTTTTGGTTAAGTCATGTCAAAGATGGAAACACATTTTTAATGATATTTTTGTATGTAAATTGACGGGTAAATTGGGTTTGGAAAGCGATTGATTTCAACCACTTTTGGGTTCACTTTTCATTTAACTGGTAACAAAACATGGTGAACCTTTTACTCGTGTTAACTGGTACTGACTGAGCGAAGTCAACATTCGTATGAAAAAGCGATAAACAAGAGTAGAAAAAATAAAAGAAGAAGAAGAAGAAGAAGAAGATGAAGATGAAAAGAGGGAAGATGATGGGAGGAGGGAATCAGAAGAAGTGGAAAAGATTCAAATGAATGTTCAATATCGCGTCAACAGGTTTCAAGTGAACAGAAAAGTGGATGACTGGATCACAAGCAGGGGAACCGTTTTTTTTCGTGTTAATCTGTATAACTGAATCAAGGTACGAATAAAGTTGATTTTAAGGTGTTTATCGGGAATCAAGATATAGAGCAACTCACTCAGCTGGAGTATGCTTTTTTTTCATCTTCATCGTCTTCATCATTTTTCATCTTTGTCGTCGTTGTCTTCATCATTTCGTCTTTTCATTCAATTTTTTAGTTAAACTTACATTTCGATGGTAAAATGTTTATCAACCTTCTTTGAAAGACTAGTTTAACGAGATTTTCCGCTTTTCTTGAACAGTTTAACTTTTAATCGACTATTAATCTGTTTTCAATCTCTTTTTTTTGCTCCTTTTAATTTCAAAAGCATAACAAGTTAGATTAAATAGATGATTACAATCAGAGCTTTATTTAAGCTCATTTCATACCTGATAATACAATGTTAATACGGATAATGGTGCACTTTCAATTTCATTTGGCATTACTTTACTTTCATTTTCTTGCAGCGTCTTTATTGTGTTTGTCAAGTCATTAGCATTTTACGTTATTGATTAATTGTCCGAGTCAAATTATTTGTAATGGTAGGACAATTATGCATTATAATGATAATTTAATTGAATCTTTTTAATTTCCAAGTATTGTTGAAATGGTTTGAAATGAAAAAGCAATGAAATCAACAAAAGGCTTCAAGAAGAAAAGAGAAGTAATTGGAATTGTGATTACCAGAAAACTGTAGATTATCATATTTTTTAATCATTATTTTAAATCCCTCTAAATGTCACCTTATTGGGTTCAAATTGTTCAGTTATCATTATTGTTGGTCTTTCATTGGATCAGTTGATTGAAGTAATATTAAACATCTTTAATGAATCCATTCAATTGAAAAATAATACATTGAATCTCAACGAGACGGTAAAAAATATGGTTCACTTGAAAATGTTTGATTTTTGGTGCAAAATTAGAAGGGAAAAATGATTTGAGCCAAAAAAAGTAAATGAAATTAGGCAAATTAAGTTTAATGGTTAACCTTTTACAAGTTAACCAAAGTGATGATGATGTTGATGATGATATGTGAATGAGTGAGTAAAACCAAGAAAAGAATCGTACAAATAACTTGAGAATTTGTTCTCAATAAAAAACCGGTTCAGATTGAACATTAACTATCCTCACTATTAACATCATCTTCATCATCTATTGCAGACATAAATGTGTTCCTGAAATGGAAAGCTACAAGTCAAACTGACCTGTAAAAGTGACCCTTACAGGAAGCTTTTTTTTCTCTCAAAGATAATCAGTAAGCAAATTGACTTTACAATCAAACAATGATATTAAATAATGACCTTGATAATTTACCTGAATCCATTTCAAGATAACAATTAAAATTATCAAAGTAGACTGGCCATTGGGCTGGCCAAGTTTACATTTCATTGCTATTATCAAAAATAATTACTATTTTATTATAATTTTTTATTGTTAATATAATGTGATTTAGTCAGCTGTCTATTTGATTGATAATAAAGACTTTGGCTAACAATGAAATTTAATTTCAGTTTAATAGAAACTATTAGGTTTCTTTTCAATTTAAATACACAACTGATGAATACTGTGATCTATTATCATTGGTCTTTTTTAAAGCAACTTTCAATTGAAAATTTATCAACCGAGCTTTATGGTTTAGTTTATTCAAATTGCATTTTAATAGCAAGTTAATGGCCACAATCAATCGCTTTCATCATTTAATAATTTGATTCATCTAATGGACGGTTTAATTTAGAATGAGTAAAGTAATTAAGATTTATGAAAGAGTAATGAATGAGGCAATTTTTTTTCTTCTTCAACAAAATTTGGTTCGAACGTTTAATAAAAAAGATTAAGGTGTTAAGGTTCCATCAGTGGAAATATAATTTCACACCAAGCATATCAAGGTTATTTAAGGTAAGTGAAGATTGTTGTTATTATTTATATGTTGCTGTTCATTGGCCAAATAAAACTGACCACGAAAGGTTGATTCAATAGGCATAAAATTAGTGGCCACGACGGTCAGGGTCACGTTGTCGAGGAGCTGCTTTAATGATGTTATCAACTCGTAAAATCATTTCAGCGGCTTCAGCAGCACTTAAGAGAACTTGTCTTTTGACTACAGCTGCTTCAATAATGTTTAATTTAGCCATATCTTCAACAGCTCCATTCTCCATGTCTAATCCGTAACTGTGTTTACCCTGTTGGTGAATTGCTCTGAGTTGAGAAATAAGTTGAGCACTATCGTAACCACCATTATCGGCAATAATTGTTGGAAGTTGTCGTAAAGCTTTAGCGAATGCTTCCATAGCAAACTGTTCTTTACCTGGTGTTTCTGCAGCAAGTTTAGAAACAGCATTAGCCATCAGCATTTCAGATGAACCACCACCGTAAATGATCTTAGGAAATTTAACAGTTTGCGATAATACACAAAGGGCATCGTGAAGCGATCGCTCGGCTTCATCGATAATTTGCTCAGTTGCTCCACGAAGAACAATTGTACAAGCTTCACCAAGAGGAACGCCAGAGAACTTGAGCATTGTATCTCCACCGATGATTACCTCTTCGATCAAGTCACATTGACCAAGTTTTATCTGAATAAAGATAAAAACACAGATTAATTAATTTGTATAAAAGTCTTAGGTAAGGTATTAAGGTAGGAATACACACTTTATCAGGGTGACCGAAAGTAGAAACAATTTCTCCTCCTGTTACAAGAGCAAGTCGCTCCACTCCATCGAAATCAGCATGTTCAATGGCCATTACACCAGCGTCAGCAAACAATTGTTCAGGATAATTATAAATTAATTGACGATTAACAAAAACATTAATGTTATGAGCTAGAATTTGGTCAACTTTATCTTTCATTTTTTCTTTTTCTGCCAGCTCGAGCTCAGCTACTTTGGCAATAGAGTCTACCTTAACTCTTGAACCGAAAACTTTAATTTTATCAGTATCCATAGGAGTATTGGCGATCAAGATTTTAGCCTTTTCAATTCTCTTTGGTTGGTTAACTCCTGGTTTCTTATCCAAAAGAAATCCTTCATCTAAGAAAGAATCAGTCAAAGTACCACCAGGTTTCTTAATAATTTGAATCGCATCAAGATTTCCTGACCCTTTTAACTTAAGAATAGCCTTTAAAGCTAGCTCTGAGAAAAATTCTTTATGTTGAGAAAGAATTTTAGAGCTAAGGGTTGTTCGCGCAATATTTAATAGATGAGACTTGAATTTTTCCTCATCAGCACTATCATCGACAGCATTATCCTCTAAAGCTTTACGAGCAACAACCACAGCCTGTCTCCATCCAGAAATGATGGTTTGAGGGTGAATTTTCATATTTATCAGTTGTTCTGCTTCCTTAAGTAATTCCGAGGCTAAAACAGTAACACTGGTTGTACCATCTCCGACTTCATCATCTTGAGTCTATAAGTGATTTTGAAACAATTAATTGGAGTCAAACATTTCTTACGATCAATATTATTACGATGAGACCATGCTTTTTACTTACCTTAGAAATATCAACAAGAACCTTAGCAGCAGGATTATTGACTCCAATACTTTTCAAAATGGTTGCACCATCATTAGTAATTTCGACCTTATTACTTCTACTGGTACTACATAATAAAATTTTGTCCATTCCTTTAGGGCCAAGAGTTGTTTTAACCAATTCCCCAACCGTAATAGCACCAACAAATGAGCTAATTCGAGCTGCTTCAGCTTTCTCCTCATCGGCACCAGCTTTTAAAACTTGAATAGGTTTCAAGGGGTTGGTTATGTTCGGCATCATCATCATTTTGAATTATTTAAAAGTAGTACAAGAGGTTGACAAAGAAAGACAATTAAATTAATTAATAATAATCAGAAAGATGACAAGAATAAGAAACACTCTTTAAATCAGAAACAATGAAAGTTGAACTGAGAGAAAGCACACCACCCTAAGCTATCTCTCACACTTTATCTTTTTCGTTTTTCCCTGTTTCTTCAAGTTTGCCTCTTTTTTTGAATTTCTGTTGAAATAAAATTGAATCAATGTTAAATTTGGTTTGTTGCCCAATTTACAAATTTTTAAGCCACGAAAATTTCTATTCTTTCGATTTAAATCAATTTCTTTGAATTTTATCGAGTAAATCTCTCATTAAATGTCCGTAAATTACAATATCTGATAATAATGGGCGTTTTGAATACAATAATTATTGCTCATCGAGGCCCGATTCTAACGTTTTCCTCTTCATCACATCAGACTAATATGGACATTTATTTCAACTTTAACTATAAACACCTAACTTAGATTTTAGCCTGAGTTTTAATCAATCTTTAGCTGTGAATTTTCAGCGTGACTGATTTGTTTTTGATTCTGCCAACAGTCAGATTTGCCTTTGAATTGTTTGATGTCCATAACCTTTACATTGATTCTTTAACTTAATTATTCTAGTCAAAGCCATTACGAATACATCTAGTCTAATAAATGTAAAATCTTTCCGTAAATCGACCATAAATTATGGGACAATTCTTGCGCTAATCAAAAATTTACAGGATCTAGTTGAAATTATCCGGTAATTATGACGGATCTCAAACTATCAGCTCTGTAAATTTCAGGCCTTGTTATGTTTAAACAGCTAAATTTTAATTCTATAAGCAAATTTCAGACAAATTCACTGAACCAACAAAGTGCTTGAGACAATTTAATTGCAATATTGTTTCAAAATCGAAATGATTTCTTCATACTTTAAAATGTTTCAATTTTAATCTTCTTTGGACTTAAACCAGATTAAGTATTCAGGCATGTCCTGCCCGAACTTCAAGCTATTCAATAAATTCTTGAATCTGGTCCAAATCAAATTAAACAACTGCAAATTGATGAATAAAAGACAATTTATTTTTATTTAAAGGTAGCGGTGTTAATTTCTACCGCCAGAGGGCAATATGCATTGAATTCTACATTAGGAAGTGCAAGAGACGTTTGCAAACATCTTGAGAATCTTAATATTAAGAAGCTTAATATCATTTTAGTGTAAAATGGATTCTCATATTTTGAAAAAGAAAGCGCTTTAGTTTGGTCTTAAAATAAAAAACTTGGACTAACCAATTGACCTCTTTTCAGAGCTCACTTTCGGTTTGTACACCCAACTATTCAGTTTTCAGAGGTCTCTCTCCATTGTTTATAAGTTGGTCTCTTTAATTTTGGTTATTTGTTTACGTCTTTCTTGTTGGTCCAAATTGATTTATTCCAATTAATTAAAATGGTTAGTCATTTTTTACTTTCTTTTCTTGATCAACTGTTTAACAAATCTCATTGTTTTCATAATCAAGGCAAAGCTAACCAATGGTATTGGACTTGGTGGTGAAACTCGTCAGTTAGTGTTGGGTGATAGTTTTCGTAATTATCGGTGCAATCGTGGCCCTAAAGGCCTACACACTGTTCGGTATGATTTCAAGCCTGCTTCAGTTGATACTACCAAAGTGGGTGATATAGAATTTGGCGAAAACAATAAAGTTACCGTGACTATGCCTAATGTTGAATCAGCTGGATTTTCACAGACGGTCTTTAAAGGCTCAAGGAAACCACATCTCAAAGAATGTGTTCTTATTATTGACAACGAAACAGGAGAATTAACATTGGAAAGGTTGGCCCATAATATTACTGTGAAAAAGACTCGAGCTGAAGGAAGTTCTCGAGCTGGTTTACCTAGGCCTATCACTCCATCATTTGAGACTCAGAATGAAAAAAGTGGATCATCATCTAACAGCAATGGTAACAATGGCAATGGGAACAATAGTAGTTATAACAATAATTCCAACAATAATTATAACCAGCGGAAACTTTCACCACCAATGATCAATGGCTCTATTAATGGCGGCCGTCCTATTTCTCCGAAAGTTTCTTCCTCTTCTTTAACTGTTGGTGGACATCATGGTAGTTTGTCACAAGGAGGGTCGCCTTCATCCTTTACACCTAAATCCAATCGATCTTCACCAAATGTTGCATTCGGGTTACATCGTAGTCCTCTTGTGCAGTCCAGTCAACCATCTATGCCAACTAATGATTTATTAACCTCAACTCACATTAAACCTGATGATGAGATGATTGGTATTCTCTCAGAATCATCAAGTGATTCTAGTGAACATGGTTCATCTAGCAGTGATAACAGTGATAGCTCTAGTGATGAAGATGATGAGATCAAGCAAGAAGTTGTAGAAGCCTCGAAAAGTTTGAATGATGATAACTATTCGAGAGCAGGTTCATCTTCATCATCTGGATCAGATAGTAGTTCTGATTCTGATGATGAAACTGGCCCTGCAACGCCAACACCAATGATGACCAACAGTTCTAAAATCAAACAAAGTCCGAACAATGGTTCCTCTTCCAGTGCAATTCTTCCAAGTATGCCTAGCATGTTGAGTATGCCCAAATTTACGCAATTAAGTAAGTCGATCAAGTACAATTTACTTTCTATTTACAAATCTATTTACCATGTATTTAATTTTTATTTTTGCTTTTTCAGGTGAAGACTTACAACTAAGTGAGTCTGGAAGTGATAGTGATTGAAGGCTTTTCGCTGTTTTCAAAGATCATTTACGGAGTTGGAACATCTGAGACGTTAATGGCTAATGCTGTTTCAATCTTGATGCAGAGATACTGAGTAAAGAAAAATTTGCTACGAAAACTTTGGGCAAAGCTTAAATGCTTCGTACAATTATTTTGGTTACGATTAAAAAGTACAATTGTTGAGGATGAAGCTAAACCGAGCATCATTGAAGTAACTTAATCAAAAGACAAATTCTCTCAAGTGCTACTGTAGCTAATTATTTTACGAGTTGATAATTTTATTAAAGCAGCTCCTCGACAACGTGACCCTGACCGTCGTGGCCACTAATTGCATGCTTTAAACTATTTTAATCAAACTTTCGAGGTCAATTTTATTTGGCCAACAAACAGCAACACTTAAATTACAATCTTCACTTACCTTAAATAACCTTGATATGCTTGGTGTGAAATTATATTTCCATAGATGGACATTAACACCTCAACTTTCTTTTTTATTAAACATTTGAATTGAATTTTTGAAAAAATTATCTCTTCTGCATTATTTCACGAGCCTCAGTGAATTGTCTAATCTAGATGATGGCTTGATAAGTTACAAAATTACGAAATTACGAATTGTGACCGGTCATCAATTTATAGCTAAATAGAATTGATAAACTAGATCACAAGGTGAACAGATTTTGTAGCGTAAGCTGCTGAGAAAGCACAGTCGATAACGAGGCACTTTTCATTTTTTAAAGTCTTTATTTTCGATCATGAAGACAAAAAAGTGACAGAAGAGTTGATGAATTTAAACAAAACTATAGCTTAAGATTCTTTCATTTCTCGCAATCTTCTAACAGCACCACGAACAGTAGCTGCAGTGGTTGTGCTAAAGACATAGGCTCCTCCGGCAACGGTTTTGCCACAACCGCGGCAAGACCAGATTCCTACACATGATCGCTTCATTGTTTCCTTTAAAAAACGAATAACACATGGATTAGACCGAGAAGCACACATAACAAAAAATAATTCACATGTAAATCTAAAGACACCTACCTTTCCGCAAAATGTACATGTGTACTTTGAGTGTTGTGTGACTTCAATTTTCTTAACCATTTTCCTAAGAGAAGCACCGTACCGAGTACCATATTTACCAACAACTCCTACTTTCTTGGTTCGCTTTGCCTGAAAAACGAGAAAACAAAGAGCACAGGTAAATAGAGGTCCAGATTCAACAATAAAACATTAAACTTACCATTTTAATTAATTGTAATAAATTACTTTAATTTAAACAAGAAAGAAATAAACAAACACTATTAAGACTTATAAAACCAACTTACAATTATATCAAATGTCTTTTCCGCTTCCGAGTGTGGTAAGCAATGCCCTCTACCGCTGAACGTTAAATTCCTACACCGCTATCTTTAAAATCATTTTCATTTTACTTTTCATAATAATTTTTCATTTTCAACATTTCCTCAATAATAATCTTATCTAATTCATTGATATCAAATGAATTTCATGCTATTTCAAAATTAATTAATAAGGATTGAAAGTGTAATCCAAATCTTGGAATTGTTTAATCCATAAATCAATATATTAACCAAATGAACATTTTACAAATAGATATTAATCTTGCTCTAAATTAAGATCTATTGGATTTATTGGCTAACAAAATGAAGCAAAATTCATCTTATATTACATTCAATAAATTACCATGCAAAATGAGATTAAAGGTCGATGAATTGAAAATCATGATAATCCTTTGACTTGATCTATAAGCTAAAATGAAGGCAAAAACAAGATGAATGTAAATACAAAAATATATTAAAATATAAATAATGGATTGAATGTGAAAATTAATGTGTTACAGTTGAATGTAAAGTTACAATACAAAATAAGTGATTAAGTCTTCAGAGCGTTGAATCTTCAGAGCGCAAGATTGAATTACAGAGTGAGTCCAACATAACTTGAAATAATGATTAATCAACAATTTTCATTTCAAGTTGAATCCGATAAGCAACATTTTGTTTTTCATTCACTTAATCACACAAACAAAATCTTTACATTTGACAACATTGAACCCAAAACCATGGATTTAAACTTTACCTCAATTTTAATCGTTTAACCAACCCAGTGAAATCAAAGTGTTTCAATCTGTCCAACCAAATAATGTCGACAACAATTAACAGTAAATCAATGAACCAACAAATGAACCAATCTTCACCAACTGAACATAACTATCATTACCATTTTTATAAGGTAAGGCAACTTTCAATTTTTAAATGTTAACCAAACATCTGTATTCAACAGCCATTCAATCACGTAAAAACAAGTTTCATTATTGAATTTAAACACATTTAATTTACAATTAACTCGACAATTCGTTTTAAAATTAAGCTGAGAAAGTGTTAACAAGTTACAAATCAAAGTAATTAGTGATTAAAATAGGGAAACTTTGAATCTATTTGATTGAGTATGTAATTGGATTGGGTTTGAATATTGGGTTAAAAATGTTTCACTTTAGTGACTTTTATTTTGAATAAACATTTATATTGATAAAAAAACATTGTAATGATGAGATAATAATGCAAAAAATAGGCAAAAAGACATAAAAATAGATATTATATGAAGAATCAAAATGATATTTTTCTTGTTATTCAGATAAATGAACAATAAATGACAATCTAAAAAACAAGTTGACAATAGATTTTTATTCATCATTTTCATTTTTTAGCCTTTTCTTTTCATCTTATTCTTGATTATATATTTGGCTTTTCTCATCATACTCATCATCACACTAATCGTCATCACCATCATCATCATCATCCTCCTCATCATTTGACCTCTTCATTCCTCGTAATGTTATACTTTTTTTTCTGTCCATTGATATGAACATGAAGAAAATTCTGTAGACTTTATCATCATCATTTCTCCTTCTCAGGATGAAAGATAAAAACATTTACAGAATCATCAATCAACCAAATAATAATGCGAGTTGGTTAAACATCAAATTCAACGAATCAAAATAAATGGTTTCACTGTTGATAGTTTTTTTGTTTTCCTTCATTTCTTAACGTTGAAAAGCCTTTTGTTTGACTTTCTTTGTTTTCCTCTTCACTTTCACTCTCATTGTTTCACTTATATACAAGTAAACATATTTAACCCCAACTAACCCGATCAACGACAATCAGCTAATCATCAGTCACTCTATTAATCATCAATTTGTTAAGTTCAAGAGCAAAATTAATCGTCACAATAATTGGTTTCACCTGAAAACAAAGACACAAACCAACAAAAGAGTGAAGCTCATAAGTCAAAAGGTTGTACAACTGATTGAAGGGACAGTTAATATGGATCAATCATGCTAATTTATGATGCCAAAATTTTCTCATCTTAATTCACACCTTAATTGTCTCAAAATTGCCAGCTCTAATCTAAATATATTTGATGGTTTCATTGTCATTGCGTTTCAATCGTTTCTCACTGTCACTTAGATATTAGATCGTCAATTCCAACTTTACGAGTCGAATGAAATTGTTTAGGATGAGTTTAGATATGACAATTGATTCAGAAACTTTTAAATCGACCTCAACATGAAATTCTGACAAATCAGGTTTTAAAGTTTCTCTTAATCATGAGCATTCCGTTGGTTCGTTAAACTTTACTTAATTGATTATGATAAAGTCGACCAACCTTGAGACAGTTTTTTATTGAGACATTAACTGAATGGGATTACTTTAAGAACCATTAACAAGATAAACAAGATTAAAGATTTTTATTCACAAGAAAATTCATAGTTTTTGATCGACGAGTTAACTGTTAAGCAAACGAAATTCATGCAAAAAAATTTCAATCGTTTGCTGATTTCTTGTATTGGATTGAAAAAGTAACGACAAGTCGGAAAATAATTTCCAGAAAATGACTTTAATCCAGAAAGGATCAAATAGGCTGGTCACTTTGAAAGACCTCGATCTTACGATAGTAACTAACATATCCAGAGTCTTGAAACACCTTACACTTCATTTATTGGTTTTAAACAATGCACTCAAAGCGCTTGGATGGTTAAAAATTGAACGTTGATTAAAACGATTAAATCTGACGCTAAAACCTATTCATATGCTAGTATACCTACACTAAGGTAATTCACACTTAAATTGATCAATTAACTCACTCACATTCAACCCGTAACATTATTGAACCCGATTTTGAGTTGCAGCAAACCAAATGGTTTGAAATGTTGGTAATGAAATGAAAAGATGGTTTAAGAGTTTTTTATTAAATTTCACAGACTATTTAATTTAACAATTTATTTACTTTTATTTCATTCTATTTAACTTTAACCATTACCGTTGATTGAATGGTTTAAATTAAACTATTGAATTTCACTTCTGTAAAATCTAACAATTTTGCCTGAAAACTGAGCCAATATTTATTCACTAATATTCACCAATTTCATTTACTTTCATTGTCTCTTCACAGACTGAACAATTAACTTTCTTGTGTATATTATTCATAATGATTTTGGTTGGAAACATTTCAGTCTTAATAACATTACTCATCTCAAAGAAGCGTAAAAGTCGGATGAACTTTTTCATGATGCATTTAGCAATTGCAGGTCACTATTAAACGTCATTCAATTAATCAAAGCTAATTGGAATCTCTGTTTTACCCAATCACCAGATCTTCTAGTTGGATTGATTAACGTTCTCAGTGATATTGTCTGGCGATTTACAGTTGACTTTTATGGAGGCGATTTAATGTGCAAACTTGTTAAATTTTCATCAGTAAGTTTCAATAAAAGTGCTTTTACTTTACTAATATCTCCAACTTGTTTCTTCTGAAATAAAATTAATGCAAACTTTTGATTAAAAAAGTGCATCAAGATTGTAATTTGACCTACAAATGCAAACACAAACATTGCCTGTTCATATTTCATTTGTTCAACTCTTTAAAGCCCATTCTTCCCCTAGAAGAATAAGAAATCTATAAAATACAGGGTAATGAGAAGAAACTCCGAATATTTCAATCTGTAAGAGAATATCATTAGACGCAATTCATTCCATGATGCAATGAATTTCCAATGAATGCAATGAAAAACGCGTTCATTGGGTTGCATTGAAACGATATGATTCATGATTCACCTCATATGCTGGGAAATCATGGAAATGATTGAAATTGTTTGAGTAACTCAGTCAGTGCTGAGAAAGGAAGAGTTAAGAAGAAATATTTCAATGAATGAGATTTTTCTTGTTAGACCTTTAAATGAAAACCTCATTTCCCTTGGAATTGATTGATTACATTAATTGCTTGAAATGTTAATAAATTGATAGTTCACAATTTGATAAATGAAAGAAAATGTTATCAAATATAAAGTTTCAACATTCAGTGACATTTTATTTCATATTGAAGCATTTTCTGAGAAAAACGAGATTTCAAAACAAAAAAAGGGATTTGAGCTCTTTTCTAATAATACATTGTAAAGGACAATGTTCAAAAACTTTGATTTCACCGTTAAGAGTTGGGACTTTGTGAGTTTTTAGGGGCATAAAAACTGAGTCTGTCAGTGCTATTGAAAATTTGTTTGAGTCGCCAGTTTTCGATAAAATTGAGGTCAAAGTTGAAGCTCCGATCGCCTTTATTTCAATAATAAAACCAGATTTTTTCATGAAACTTATTTCCCTGGTGTAACTGTTGCTGATTAACCAGAAAATGAAGTTATTTTCAATGAAAAATTCTCTGTTCAGATCAAAAACAGATCACTTCGATTTTCAGTTAAATTGACCGCTTTCTGTAACCGCTTGAGTTAGAGATCTGAAACTCATTTTTTATCGGCAAAAATCA